GCAGGCAACCCGAACGCACCCGTGTCGCGGCGCTCCCGGGGTTGCCTGCCGCCACGGCGCTCTGCCGGAGCCGGAGGAGCAGCAGGCTGATTCCGAGCGCTGCTTTCGTCACTCTGTCCCTCTCGCACCCCCAAGCGTGCGAGAGAGACAGAGCGACGAGAACGCCTCTCGGAATCGGTCCGCTGCAGCCTGCAGTGTAGCGACCGGCGGACCATTCCATCTCCTTAATTGCTCCAACTTTCTTGCGGCTCTTGATTCAATTTGAGCGGCGTCGGCGGCGGCCACGTCGGCGACGGCTGTTGTTGTTTGTGTTGTTGGTTGGCGCGCGTGTGTCGGGCAAATGGTTGTTGTTGTTGGCGGGCTGCCGCCGCTGCCGCCGCTGCCGCCAAGTGCATGGCGGTCGGGCGAATCGTAATTTGAATTATTTACGCCCCGCATGCTCGGCGAGGCCGTTGAGGCCGCCGAGGCCTTGACGGAGTCGGCCGCCTTTTATCGGGCACGCGTCCCGTCCCGTGTCGTATCGGCTTGGAGGGGAGGGACGTGCGGTACATTCACTCGACGGCGGAGAGAGAGAGAGAGAGAGAGAGAGAGAGAGAGAGAGAGAGAGAGAGAGAGAGAGAGAGAGAGAGAGAGAGAGAAGAAAGAACTCGCGGGGAAAGAAACACGATCGACGACGACGACGCAGCGGCAGCGAGGATGCAAAGCAGAGCAACGGAATGGAATTAAACGCAGCGGGGTGGGGCGGGGCGCACAGTGGGCCAGAAGACCAGTGGAGGCGGCCAAAACTCTAGACGCGTTTTGAGCGCCAGAGTCGCTAAACAGGACTCGAACCGATCGTGTGACCCCACCAGTGGATTCCTCGTTCGGAGAGCAATCCATTGGTGGGGTCACACGATCGGTTCGAGCCCCATTTAGCGACTCTGGAGCTCAAAACGCGTCTAGAGTTTTGTCCGCCTCCTCCGGCCTTCTGGACCACTGTGGGGCGAGGCGGGACGCCGATGTCGCCAAGCGGCCTCGCGGGAGCAGTACTATGAAGATGGAGAACAAGCGCGGGCCGACCAAAACAAAACAAAACAAAAAAATAAAAATGGCAACGCCCTTAAAAATATTTTGCACTTTAGTTTGGTTAGTTTCTTGGGCACCGTTTTCCGCGCGCAGCGCAGTCGCCTGTTTTTCGGGACGGCCTCGACTTTTGTTTACACTTTCCCGTGGAAACGTGGCCACGGCCGGCGCATTGTAGTTTCGTCCATTCATGCCGCAGAGACGATGATCCGGGCTTTCGGCCTTTCGGGCCGGCCTGACGGGCCTCACGTCCCCGACGGGCTTCCCCCTCCCCTCTTTAAGGCCCTCTCACTCAATTAATGGACGGGCCCTGACGTGCTTTGTCTCCGACGTGTCTCCGACGTGTCGCTGACGTCACCGACGTCACTGGCGCGTCTCCGCGGCCCTTTGGCCGTCACTCGCGCGGCCGATGCCTTGTTTTTCATCCCCTGCTGTCACGGGGTGGGCTGGGGTGGGGGGACATTTGCCGCGCCTTTAAAAAGTCCCTCTTTTTGTTTTTTTACGGCTCCGCCGCGCCGCCGCGCTGCGTGTCGGCTAAACTGAACGCGGCCCCCCTCAGCCTTTCCAGCCCTTCACTCGGCTGTCCACAGTGGCGTGCGGTGCCCGCGGACAGAGCGACAGCTCTGCAGTGTACCGCCGCGCTGCAGCCAGCGACAAAAGCCGACGTCGGTCGAGGACGCGGCAAGGCGCGGCAACGCGGCGCAGGCCGGCATGAACAACTCGCTTCCCTTCCGCCCCTTTTCGCGCCGCCTCCCCCGCCTGCCCTTTTCCCGGACAGAATAAAAGGCGCCAGAAATAAACTCCCATAAAAGGAGCCAAGTGTCGGACTAATTCCGGAAGCGCGCTTTTCGACACAGTAACTGCTGCTCGAGAGAGAGAGAGAGAGAGAGAGAGAGAGAGAGAGAGAGAGAGAGAGAGAGAGAGAGAGAGAGAGAGATTGGAGCGGGGGAACTGCTTGCTTTTCGAGCAGGCCATGGCCGCGCCAGGGATAGGGTGTTGGGGGGGGGGGGGGGGGTGCTTAGAGGTTAGGGGCCTTCCGGCCTTCCGGCGTGTGGTTTTTGGCGCGGTGGACGATCGGCAGGTGTTTGGCGGCACATGTTGCGAGGCGGGGCCGCCGGACAGGTGCTGCCTTTCCAGTGTGGGGCTCGCGGGGTGGGAGAGGGGAAGGGGGAAGGGGTAGGGGTAGGGGGTCCCTTGGGAACAGATAAGCGCCAAGACGGTCCCTCATAAATTTGGGAAGGCGGTGACGGATGATGGAGGGGTAGTTGTTGATGGGTGGCAGCACTGGCGGCGGGGCTCTTGTTGTCGCGGGGGCACTTCGCTTGTCTGTGTGCGTGACGGGGCCGACGAGGCCAGCTTGTAGGTGAGGGCGATGAGCAGGTCCTCGAGTTCGCCAGCAGTTTGATTCCGAACAAGTTCCTTCCTCGCTCTGTCTCTCTCGCACTCCTGTGCGACGGTCCACGAGTGCGCGAGAGAAGCTTTGTGGTCCGCGCAAGACAGAGAGAGTGTGTCAGTGCCGACAAGCCGTTCCGCCTGCGCGATTTCTCATAGCGGACCGGCTTCCGCTCTCTTCATCTCGTCTCCCTCTTCCAGTGTGCATGCCCTGTCCAGGCCAAGGCCCAGGCCCAGGCAGGGATTTTTACGGTGGGGCGGCCGTCGCAAACAAGACGTGGGCTCTGAGGCTCCAGAAGGTGGAGCCGCGGGAAGGCTGGGGCTGTGAAAGAAGGGGGCGAAAGGGGGCGGGGCTTGTTAAGCTAATACAGAGCTAATAGAGTAGAGTGCGGGCAGTGCGGCCGCCTGATAGACTGGGGTGTTTATGCTAATCTTGGCGAGAACTCTCCCAGTACACGGACTGGCGGAGCGAGAGAGTCGCTGCGTCGAGTCGAAGAAGCACACGCATGCCGAGGCCTGCGAACTTGGCGCTTCTTTCTATCGCAAAAACGCGTTCGGCTCTGGCCGGAAGATGCGTCTTTGATGAAGTGGAGTGGTTCGTCGCCTGACAAACGAATGTAATAGAATGTACCGCTGCCAAACTTTTCCCGCGGCGTCAGGACGTTCCCTCCGCAAAGCCGAAAGTGATTGGGTCGGGGCGACCCTCGGGCCCGAGGTAGTGCCCGAGGTCGTGCGCTCTACTCGGGTGACTGACGGACGCCACAGGCCACAGCCGTCGCTCTGTCTCTCTCGCACCTACACGGGACGCCCCATGAGTGCGAGAGAGACAGTGCGACGGAAACGACTCTCGGAATCAGTGTGCAGGCCGGGCCGGGCCGGGGGACGCGATGGACGAAATGGACGACGGGCGGCGGAATCGCGTGGCTGTCGCCATGCTGTCGCCATGCTGTCGCGTCACTGTCGCGGCGCTTCAGACTCATTCCGAGAGTCGTTTTCGTCGCTCTGTCTCTCTCGCACTCATGGGGCGTCCCGTAAGGGTGCGAGAGAGACAGGCCGACGAAAGCACTGTTCGGGATCACTCTGACGTCGCGCCTGTCCTGTCCCTCAGGCACCGCCAATCTGTTCCATCTACCACCCCTTCCGGCCCCGCCCCTGCCGGGCCTTCCGGGCCTTCCCCCGCTCTGCTTTGTCGCTCTGTCTCTCTCGCACGAGTGCGAAACGCGCGAACGCGCGTCGAGCGCGAGACAGAAAGGCCTCTCTTTCGCCTTCCTTGGAGGGTGCGTTTTCGTCTTAAATCCTTTCCAAGACGATCCATGTGCCAAGTGAGGCATCCAGGCCTTCCAAAGTATTGGCGCCCGGAGTGGGGGTCGGGGAGAGCGGGGGTGGGGGCTGCTCGGGGCTGCGGGCGCTTTGGAGTCTTGACAATGGTCGAGGCCTGGAGGCCTGCCTGGAGGCCTGGAAGCCTGGATGGGGTGGCGTGCCTGGGCAGGCCTGCCGAGGTATGCAATCCATATTGGAGTGGACTGAGGAGCAGGCGCCTGTCCTTCCAGACGTGCTGTCGCTCCCCCTCCTCCTGCGCCTCCACTCGAAGAGAACGGGTCGTCAAATCAGGCCAAAGTGTCATTTTTGCGTCAAAATGGACCAAATTTTGACGAAAAACATTGGCGTTATATTGACTTTGTTTTCGCTGGGAAGCGGCCGGTCTTTTCCCCCGCCTCACCCCTTTTTCCGCCCCTTCCCGTTTCCCGCCCCTTTCCGTTTCCCGCCCCTTCCCGTTTCCCGCCCTTTCCCGTTTCCCGCCCTTTCCCGTTTCCCCCTTCCCGTTTCCCGCGTAGTCTTGGCCTTTTCTTGGAGTTTCTCCGCCACACTGTCTGACTGGCGTCGCGCTTGGTGCTTTCCTGTTCCAGATGCCGGAGAAGCTGAGGGAGGGCATGACGGGCTTCAAGGACCGGCAGATGCGCCGCTTCAGCCTGCCCACCAGCTCCCGCGGCCTGCTCAAGGCCGGCGCGGGGACCGCGGGGCTGGCGGGGGCGGCGGGGGCCGCGGAGCCGCGACGCTCTTCCGTCGCGTCGGTCTGCTCCACCGAGTGTACGCCAGCGCGTCAGCGCCACCTTAGCGTTTTCTCTTTGTTTTTGTTTTTGGTTTGGTCGGATGTCGTGTTTTATGCAGGGCGGACCGCGCCGCTCTGTCAGCATGGCCCCTGGCGCCTAGTAGACAGGTAGTCCCCGGTGCAGCCGTGTCGACCGGACAGCATCGACGGAGTAACCACTCACCCTGCAGACTGATTCCGAGAGTCGTTTGCGTCGCTCTGTCACTCTCGGAGCTATAGGGGACATCGCATGAGAGACAGAGCGACGCAAACGACTCTCGGAATCGGTAAGCCGTATGTTTATGTTTGTAACGGTATCACTAATGCTCACAATTTTCTGGATGTCGTTGTGCCACTCGCTTCCGTTTCCGCTCAATTTTCCTCTTGGTTGCTAAATCTGTATCTGTAGCGACCAGCGTTGTTTTCCAATGTTACTTACGTGGCGTTCTCGTTGCAGCATCCTACACGGGCAGCTCTTCCGATGAAGACGATGTCTCACCGAGAGAAAAACTGCAGAAGAATTCCAAGGAATTCTCTGACTTCTGCGTCAAGAATATCAGCCAGCATGCATTCGGCCGAAGGGAAATTGAGATTGCAGAGCAAGGTAAAAAAAGAGTCCCATAGTTTCTTATCTGTTGCTTCCATATCTAAATACCCAAATCTCTAGCTGACACTTCTTTTCCTGTTCCCTAGAAATGCCAGGAATCATGGCCTTGCGAAGAAGAGCAGGAGATGACAAGCCTTTAAAGTCAGCTAAAATCGTGGGATGTACCCACATCAATGCTCAAACTGCTGTAAGTCTTCGGTTCAAGCTCTTGTGCTATCTAGTTTCTCTATTTCAATATTTTCGGTATTTTTAAAATGTGTTGCATTTTTGCAGGTGCTTGTGGAAACTTTAGTGGAGCTTGGGGCCCAAGTTAGATGGGCAGCGTGCAACATCTATTCTACTCAGGTATAATATTATTTTTCTTTCTAAAATCCACCAATATTTTGTTTTGCGTCACATAAAGCAATCTTTTTTTTTCTGTTTTTCTTTTTAGAATGAAGTTGCTGCTGCTCTTGCTGAAGCAGGTAAGAGAGGCTCTGAGAACAATCTTTTTACCATTCTTAGTTCTTGTGTTTCAACTAATGTGTTTCATATTATTACCAGGATATCCTGTGTTTGCATGGCGTGGAGAAACAGAGGAGGATTTTTGGTGGTGCATAGACAAATGTGTCAATGCAGAGGGCTGGCAACCCAATATGATCTTGGATGATGGAGGGGATGCCACTCACCTGATGCTCAAAAAATATCCTGCTATGTTTAAGATGATTAAAGGTGAAGCATCATTTGTGTTTGAATTTGCAATTAACTTCCTAGAATGATTACCTAGTACTTTATATTGAATAAGAGATGATTATTTTTGCAGGTATTGTTGAGGAGAGCGTAACAGGGGTTCATCGTCTGTATCAACTGTCTAAGGCTGGAAAGCTCTCAGTGCCTGCCATGAATGTTAATGATTCAGTCACCAAGACCAAATTTGACAATCTTTACAGCTGTAGGGAGTCAATCATCGATAGGTAAGTCATTAAAATCTATTTAAAACTATTGCCTAAATTTGTCAAAGCCATCATGTTTTACCTGATGTTCTGTTGCCCATTATAGCTTGAAGAGAACTACTGACATGATGTTTGGAGGCAAACAAGTGGTTCTATGTGGATATGGTGAAGTTGGAAAAGGATGCTGTCAAGCGTTGAAGGGTCTTGGTTGTGTTGTATACGTCACTGAGATCGATCCAATTTGCGCCATACAGGCATGGTAAGATTTGAAAAAAATATTCAACTTTCAAGACAAATATCATAATTTAATTTTTTGTTATCAGTGGGTTGTGATTAATTAATCATTTTTTAAACTTCCTAGCATGGATGGTTTCCGTGTAGTGAAGCTAAATGAAGTGGTGCGCAATGTTGACATAGTTGTGACAGCAACTGGGAACAAAAATGTAGTGACAAGGGAACACATGGATAAAATGAAAAGTGGATGTGTGATTTGCAATATGGGGCACTCCAACACTGAAATTGATGTTGTAAGTGCTAAGGAATATCAAGGCCATTGGAGTCCATCAACTTTTTATTGTAATTCTCTGATTCATGAGTTCTTGATTTTCTCTTGTTTTACAGAATAGCCTTCGTACTCCTGATCTTACTTGGGAAAAGGTTCGATCTCAAGTAGATCATGTTATTTGGCCAGATGGAAAACGTATTGTCTTGTTAGCAGAAGGAAGACTGGTGAATCTAAGTTGCTCTAGCTTACCTTCTTTTGTTGTTTCAATCACTGCTGCTACCCAAGTAAGATAATACTCCATATTTTGCTATTTTTAGTCATTCAAGTTTGTTTGAAAATGTGCAGTTGTAATTCATCTTTTTGCTTTGTTTCTGTTTTAGGCTCTGGCTTTGATAGAACTCTTCAATGCTCCTCATGGACGTTATAAATCTGACGTTTATCTATTGCCTAAAAAAATGGGTACGTATTTAGAGAAGCAATATATTTTCTTCTTGGTCAGATCATCTTTCCCTATTAATTTTTGTCCCCATTTCATTTTTAGATGAGTATGTTGCAAGTCTACATCTTCCAACATTTGATGCCCACTTAACGGAGCTCTCAGATGAACAAGCTAAATATATGGGGCTCAACAAGGCTGGTCCATTCAAACCAAACTATTACAGGTCAGTAATCTTTCATATTTTCTCCATTGGTTCTGTTTTGCCAAGTTCTTTTGAAGAAAAGCAGGAACCTCTTTCCTTTTGTTTCAGATACTGACAGTACGAAGATTCCGACAAAACCATGAACACTCAAAATCAACAGGGCTAAAAATACCTATTGCTTCAGATTTGCAGTGTTCTGTGTTTAGCATTAGGCTTTTCCATGTCATGATGTACTGGCAAAGTAGTGTAAAATGTGTTCTGATTATGTTGGTTGTTGGTCATTAGGTCTGTAAAAGCTTTTTAATAGACTTTTTAAAACGATCAATTATTGATACAAACATGACGGTGATAAAGAAAGGCTTTTAGATACATTTTTGACAGGAAACCTAACTGTGTTTCATAAAATTGATGTGTTTTGAATAAATTGTTAATTTGTGGGAACGCAATTGGTGTTGTAGAAGCTAGTATGACATATTCTGGGCTTGCTTTGTGTAGGAAAAAATAACAGTGACATATTTTGATCCCTAGCACTGCATTTATTGATTAAGTAAACACATGTGAGCGTGTTCACCTAGAAGTGATCAGAATTAAGGTAGCAAATTTTAGTAAGGCAAATTAAATTTATGTTGTAAAAGAGTAATTTTCAGTATTTTAAGAATTTTGTGCCTGCCAATTTGTCAGGGTGAAAGGATCAATTGCAATTTGCTCAGAGAAAATGAGTATCTGGTTGGCCTACTTTTTGTTTTATATTGCACTGACGACTGATAGAGCCGAAAAAGAAAAAAAAAAGAAAAATATTGTGCCAGTGTTTTCAATGGTACTACGCATTAAAAATGTTTTATTTTAGGTGAGTTTGAGGAGTGATCTATTAGGATGGTGTGTGGGCCTAGGCAGGTGTTCACAAACCTACACCCGAATCATAACTAAGACAAATCCAATGAAACATCTGACGACCGGATGTGGTTATCAGTAGAGACTGTATAATTTTTTTCAATTTGTCTCTTTCTTTATTATTATTTAAATAATTTTTCATTATTCAGTGAAGCAAAGTTGTGGGCTTTTATTTGGAATGTTGAACACTATCAGTGGTCTTAAATTATGGTTTTTCAAGGGACTCTGGCCTTTTAAAATTCATTTTTATTTTAATGGAAGTGTTGTTGAACATTATTATGTTAAATTTTGTGTTGATGAGTGAGACCAAAGGAAAGATTTCTGTTTTACCAACTATATCAGATCAGATCAAGGGACCTGTAATGCATTTTAAGAGCCAGATTCATTCCTTTAAAAACTTCCATTGGATGTCTCCCACCTGTTGACTTAGGAATCAGCATTTCAGAATTTATTTTGTAACTTTGTTTCTTTTGCATCATGTTTTTATACCTAGGCATTCCATGTCATTGTAACCAGTATTTAAACCAGAAAGTGTGATTTGAATGTGCTTTTTAGGCACCTCTCTTTCTTTGTGCATCACATTTTTATAATAGTTGTTCCTATCACACAGTGTTGCCATCCATTTTTTTCTTTTTAAGTATTTCATTGTGATACTAGATATTTCACAAACTGACCGGTGCTTAGTATTCTTGTTTGCTGCCTTTATTATCAATTTTATTGACTAATTTGCATATTTCAACGTAGAATGTGATACTAGTAACAAGGTAGTAAGGTGAGTTGAATTATTTTCTGTCATCTACTACACAGTTTTTCAGTAACCAACTCTCTAGGAGCCAGGAGCTGTGTAGTTTACAACTGTACTGTAGTAAGAGTGTGCCACCCATTTTGGGAAATATTATGCTTTTGTAGTCTCTTAATCTATTGTTTTGTGGGCAATTCTGTACTTAATCTAGTGTTTGTATTTAAACTGAGTACTGTTCTTTTGTCTTGTTTTATGAGTGTGCATGTCTTGTGGTACTCTCCCTACTACCATCTATCCTTCCTCCTCCTACTCCTCATGACTACGACTGTAACTTTTTGTGGAAAGTATTTTTTTCTTGTCAGCGTTTTCAAAATTGTTACTTGCTCTGGTGTGAGAGTGGTTATCACCATTGGCAGCTTCTCTAGATACTGGAAGTACATAAGGTTTACTTATCCTCAGACATAAGTGCCACAGCGCTCCTATGTTGTCCAAGTTGGCTGTGTCTGTGATACTGTAACTATGCAGATCTCTGCTAAGTTTACTGAAACTCAGAGGGACCTCAATAATTTACAAAAATGTTATCTTTACAACCTGTCACTTGTATGAATGAATTCAGTAATGCAATGAGTGTGAGACATTTTTCCTATTACTCTGGAGCTGAAAGTATCCATAATGACAATAGAATTGAAATCCATCCCATGGAAATTGTTGATGTTTCTATTAATTGTTATATAATGAACTCTTAAATTTAAAAGGTACTCCTCATAGGCTTATTAGTACACGAATTATTGCAAACAATGCCAGCAGGGTAAATGGCTTATAACTTTTATGTGATGTTATAATACAGTATAATATGATTTAGGTTGCTGCTCAGATGCTTGGGGTTTGGCCCACCAAGTTGAAATTATAATTAAGATAAAAGTTAATCATGTGTTTACAAAATCTGACAACAAATTGAATGTTTATGTTACTTGTTAACAAATTGCTCGACAGTTGGAAAAGATTTTTGGAAAAAGTATGTATGCAATTGTATATCAAGGAATTTTCCTTGGGGTAGGTGGTAGGTAAGTAAGCAAACTGTCTAGTGGTTAGAAAATTGTCAGTGAGCGTATGATAAAGCATATTCAAACGGAGGCAGTTTCCTAGGATACATAATGAGTCCAGCGATTGCTCTAATAAGTTTCCAGTAGGGTGGATAGAATTGTGCTTCTATACAGCTGCGGCTGAAACTTACAGGCTGTATTCGATGTTGCTGACAATTGCGTGTTTTTCTCCTGGAATGTCTTTATTTTAATAACGAAACTTGATGTGCACATTGTTTTTGTTCTTCAGAAGTTCAGGGTTTTACTTTTAAAAGAACGGGGAAACTTGATACCTGATTTACATTCACACAGGCTAAGCTGAATTTTATAAACAAGGCAAAAATTATTCATGCCTTTGTCAATCTTGCCTTTGATCACATTAACTTTTAAGATGTTAGTTTTATCTTTTGGGCTGTGTTGACTGCAGTATCTTATCAGCCCATAAATGTTTGTTAAATTACAGATACTGTTTATATTGTTAATTGAAGCAAGGTACTCTCTTCTATATTGGTACCCTCTGCAGCTACACAAGTGCAAGCTGTAAATTTTTGAATTGTTGACAAAATAAACATTTGAACATACAGGAGCATTTTTGATCCCTATCCTCACCAGCCACAAATGAGTTTTAAAAGGTGTTGTGGTATAGTCCACTTTAAAAGCAGTTGCATTCTTCACAGGTTAAAAACAGTTTGAAATATAATACACACTAGATTCATATAAAAGTTCTCTTTTTTTATTCCTCCCTATATTTAGTCTGGAAAACCAAATTTCCAATGAGGTACAACAAAACTATTTACAAATAGCAGCTAAAAGTAAAAGGATACTAGTAATTCCATATGTACAAAAAAAAAAGCATACACACTCAACAGTGGTAAAACTTACATTAATAAACCAACATTGTTTCTGAATGTTAATCCTTCCTCCGCCTTTTATCTTTATCATCTTTCCTGTCGTCTTTCCTATCATCCTTTCTGCGGTCTTCTTTAGGACGTTTACTAGCCCTCTTCGCTTCTGTGAGGAACCGCTCCAGACCAAATGGATCCTCTTCTTCCTTTTCAAATTGGACAGGACCACTCCTAGTAGCATTTCGGTCTGTGCCACTGAACTCCTTGTCAGGCACAAATCTACAATACAAAGAAAAAGTTCTCTTTATAAGACGCCAAAATGGTAAATTAAAGTAGATCAGTTATTTTGTACTGGAAAAAGCTTCTTAAGGCTAGACAAAACAAATTATAAAATACTAACCGGTTTGTTTTGATGAGCGTATCTAAATCATCACCATACACTTCCTTATCCACGTTTTTGCTGGGGCGGTACAAATGTTGTCCAAGATTTGACCCTTCACGCCATGGTTTATCATAGACATTGTACGCTTCATCATCAGCATAGCCTGAGTCCATTCCTTTGCTGGTATTGAAGAGGCGCTGATCAAATTGAGCCTCACCACCAGCAATAGACTTAGCAGGCATACCCAAAGCAATTTGCTCACTGATGTCACGTTCACGTTCTCGTTGAAGCTTCGACCTAAAAAACAAGTTGAGTCACTTTGTTAACATATGGTGATGAGCAAGACTGACAATGCATAGAAGAATCTCAATAAACAGTACCTCTTGTCAGGAGCAGCACGTGCAAGATTGCGGTCTCGTTGCCTTTCCTTGTGACGTTCAGCACGCAGTTGATCTCTCTCTCTTGCTTCTTCATCTTTGTCTGAGAGTAAAGAAAGAGAGCACAGTTAGTAAACCTATCAAGACACAAAAATTTTATGAGTCTCTTCATGATACATACCAACAGCATTGGAAGTGCGAATACCAGCACGTTCTTCACGAGCTTTCTGAGCCAATGCTCTAAGGTGCTCCTCTTTCTTCTCTTTTTCTTTCTGTGCAAGTTTCTTTTCCAGTTGAGCTCGCATTTCAACAGCTTCTCTGGCCTGAAAAATACAACATTGAGAGCTACAACAACTCAACAACAAAGAATTTCAAATTGGAAAAACTCCAACACACCTTTCTGTCAGCAATATAGAGAGATTCTGCCAACTTGGCAAAATTTTCATTAATATGAACTTGTTGCAAACCTCTTCCATCAGCTGCTAGACGTTTATCAAGAGGTATGGTATAACCCTGTACACAGAAGAGAATATACATTTTAATTCCATCCACCAACACCTTCAGCACCTGAACACAAAACCGATAGAAATTACAATTCTAATTTCCTCACCTTGGCGTTTTTCCAGTTTGATATGCATGGAGGAATCTTCCACTCTTTCTGCTCCTTCACAGTAACCTGGAAAATAATATTATAATTTAGTGCACATGAAATAGAATTAAAATTCAAATAAGTATTTGGACTGCTATGCTATGCATAGTATACGGATTTTGCAATTAGGAGCTCACTTTTCTGGTAGGAGAGTGCATGACAGGCGCAGGGGGTGACGGTGGCCCTCGAGGAATTTTTTTGTTGATTCTGGAATCATAAAACAACAATAAGCACATGCTAGGAATCATTAATTAAAGCTTTTTGTTAAAATTGAGCTATGAGAGAATTACTAACTTGAATTTAGGCGGTTCAATAGGATCTTTCTGAGCTTCCACCATTCTGATTACTCTTTGCTTGGCCCCTGAGTTAAAGGCAGTACCTTGTTGTGAAGGAGTATAACGAATATATTGGGCCGGTGCCTGTAAATAAAAAGAATGATTACTCTCCACAATAATTAACATCTACTGATGAAGACAGTTGATAAGGATCTACTTACAGTTTTTTCAGCACACCTCACAGGCATGGCAGCAGCAATTTTGGTTTGTGTCAGTCTTTCCAGAGCCTGACGCGTTCGATCAGTAATTTCTTCTAGTTCTTCAGCATCAGGCCTTTCAAGTGCTGGATCATCTTCAGCCATTACCTCTGCTGGCAGCAAGTCTGACAGTTTAGAATAAATGATCTGCAAAAAAAACACACCACATATTTGGTATCAACATTTAAACTAATGCCAGCGCATTGAGTGGACAAGACAGAAATAATTACCTTATCTTTAGAATGACCCTGTCTTGCAAGAACATCATATTTAATTTTTCCTGTTGCATCCAATTGAACAGCCAGGGCGTTAGAAGTGCTCTCCTTTCCTTCACGCCCCATATTGAGAGGATACTGAGCAACGGTAATCTCCGGAAATGCACCTCCATCTCCATAATCCTGAAGGAAAACCAAAAGTAGGCAACATTAAGTAACAAGATTAGACATAAGAAAAGAAATTTAAGATCTATGACGTCAGCTCAAAAAGCAGCACACCTGTTCTGTGCGAGGAATCCAACCTCTTCGCTGACCGTAGGGAGGAGCAGTCCATTGAGCCGACATAAGGGCTCCAGCAGCAGAGGAAGGGGGTGCCTTGGCCCTGGCGTCATCTCTGTCCCACACCGGCTGCGACGGCGCAGGCAAAAGACTGCAAAAGAACAGGAACAGGAATGAAGGGTTACTAACAACAAACACATTTGGCCTTGAGTCAACTGCATCTGGCTTTTAGGTTAGAACGTCAATTCGCACTGAAAATCGTTCATAAGCCGAGCTAAAATCACGTCAGTGACAGCCATCAATAGAATACACTTAATACTATAACTGACTTTGATGAAAATCAGTAAGAAATATCGGAAAGGAGATAATCAAGTCGTTTTCGTTTATACAACGAAGGCTTCAGCGATACTCATTCACAAACGCATTTCGACATTTAAAACGCACCTAATGGAAATACAAATTAGACAAAACATGTTTCAAAATGCGACTGTCAAGTTGAAAAGCATAGAAGTACCCTTACCTCGCCAGAGACATCATTTTGATCTACAACTGATCAAAGATTGTGTGTGTACCGAGCTTCTCTACTACTACTACTACACTCACACAGTCACACACACACACACAGCTACCCCCTCCCTACCTATCCCCACCCCATCCCTCCTCCCTCCTCCCCCTTCCCCGAAGAGACCAGGAAGTCACTGCGACCAACCCACCAACTTACCACCTTCAACTTGGTGGGGCATTCCCTGTGCTGCCCTGTAATTTGCCCCCAACAAAAATATTTCCCGTATCGAAGTTTCAAATGATTTTTCATTTACGAGCACTCCTGCACTCATTTCAATCAATAAAGGAAAACGCTCAGATCATGGGGAGTTTTTCCTTCACACGTTGGTAATAGCAGATAAACCTTCCACTTGGCAACACTGCATTGCAGCTGCCGCTGCCGCACGCGAAAACGGTGGTTGGGGTTGGCTTGTTTGTTTGTGCGTGATTTGATTTGCCTTGCCTTGCCGGTGTTGCTCTAATTTCGTTGCAATTCATTTCCTCGTTGAGGGCGTGAGAGGAATTAGCAAGCTTTTCTGGCAGCTAATACTTCCTACGGACATCATGACAGAGGGAGAGACGGTAAAGTAAAATTCATCAATGTTTATCACTCGCAACCCAGCCTTTATTACGTCTCAGGCCCTGTCTCTCTCATCCCGTTGCTTGCACCAATTTCGCGTGCAGATCTTGAAATATGAACATTCTAAATCAATATCAAAGCTTATCAAACTATGTTTGAGAATAAATGCCCAAATAACGTGTTAAATGGTAGTAGTTAAGGTTATGCAGCTCACGCTAGGAACGCTGTGGGTACGCTCTGTCGTTCATTCAATAGCATCCTACCATTTGAAATCTTCTTTGACCAGTTTTTCCTCATTTGCACCTATGGTATTCCATCGGACTATTCGCCTGTCTTTCCTTTTCCGTTGACTGTTACACATTTCAGTGGCTTATGAAATCCAAAAACTCATCCTTGGATGTGCCTTTCCTAGCCTTACACCCCACTTTTATGTGTCAGTTCAAAGATAAAAATAGCGTAATTTTTTCATCCATTTTCTTTCTAATCAATGCTTTTGTTCATTTTGAAACTACTGCAATTGTTTTAATTATAAAATGCATTTGTTTTATTTTCAGGCTACTGTCACCAATGGCACTGGAGATGGGAGTGGTGAGGGAGACAATGCCAACTTAAATAATTCGGCTGCCTCTGAGCATGACCCTCATTTTGAGCCTATTATCACCCTGCCAGAGGTGGAAATTGCCACTTTGGAGGAGGATGAGGAAGAAATGATTAAATTGTATGCGTGCCTCCTTTGAACTGTTTTTGTGGCTTTTATTCTTTCCATGAATTTAATTTTCATCTTTTTACCATTAGACGGGCCAAGCTCTTTCGATTTGACTCTTCTGAAACCCCATCGGAATGGAAGGATCGTGGTGTTGGTTGGGTCAAGCTTCTGAGACATCGCACCAGAAACACAGTCCGTGTAGTAATGAGGCGTGACAAGACTCTGAAGATCTGTGCTAACCACTATGGTGAGTATTGCTACTGTGCTGTTTGATTTCATTAATTCAGTCCCATATATTTTTGTTCTATGAATATTTCAGTGACACCTTGGATGACACTCACTCCTAGCTGTGGCAGTGAGCGGGCTTGGGTTTGGTCTTGCAAAGCAGATTATGCAGATGAAACTCCACGGGCTGAACTGCTAGCGATTCGCTTTCAGAATGCAGAAAGTGAGTATTGTACAAATTTGAATAGCTTGTAGATGTATGTTTCAATGACAACAAATCTCACTATTATTCTCCCCGCAGTTGCCCAGAGATGGAAGGACAAGTTTGAAGAAGCCAAGGAAATAGTCAAGAAATATTGTAAGTCCTTTGACTTTCCTGGGACTTTCTGCTGGCCAGGCACTGCTTAACTTTCATCCAATTTTTATCTTAATTTTGTTCTTTATGTTTTACTCTAGTGGGGGAGGAAGAGTTGGGTACTGAAGAGGACAGTGAAGTTGATACTACCAATGAGGAGGATACAAGCATTTCACCAAGTAAAGAGGCTGAAAAAGATGAGTCCAAGGAGGAGGCCAAAACCACTGAAGTCACTGAACAAATGGAAAAATTGAATGTTGTTGAAAAGGAAGAACCTGAAAAGTCTGTCTCTGAACCATCAAATGAATGATCTGTTTAAACTTTTTCTTCATGCCTAAATTTTTGATTTGCACTGAGATTTACCTTATTGTTACCTTTAACGTAAACAAAATGAAAACTATGGAAATGTTGGATCCATCTATTGAATTGCTTTTGGGTTTTATACGTTCAACTCCTAGTAACATGTGCCAGTTTAACATAAATGATTCTAATTTCTCGTTTACCACAAGTTAAGTACTGTGATGATTTGGATTAGTGAGGGCACAAAATGTACTGATAAGATAGGTTTATTTGTACCATTCCTGTGTGCATTTAGAATTTTTTTCTGTGACATAGTGAGGTTTAAATAATGTTAAGCCATATATTTTTGTAACTTAAAAAAATATGAGAAAAAAAAAAAGATTGCTGGGTTTTCATTTAAAGGATCCTCTCTAAAAATTATGACAGTGATTTAAATTCACACATTTATTTTTACTGATAAAACAGTGAGACAATGATGGGTAATACATACAATGTAACAAAGAAGGATAAATTATTTGTTCAGTCAGATATACATGTTAATGTGGTAGAAACAACAACAAAAGTTAAAAACAACCAAAATGAAGATAATATGCAACACAAAATCAACTAGACACCGCCTTATTTCACTAATTCAATACTGAAATACAATACTCTGTAAAAGCATAACAGTTGGTTGGAAAATCTATCCATACAAATAAATGTACTAAACATTCAAGACATGATATAAGTCATGATAATAATTGGACAAATCATCAAATAAATTATGTGGGGTGAAATATTGCACATCGACTGACTAAGGCAGGTACTTTATAAGGTAGCTCACAAAATTTACTGCACTGGGCAAGAGTGCAATATTACTATTGGTACTTATCCTACAATTCTGAGAGGCCCAAGAGTAGAAAGATGGGTGAAACAATATTTTTAGAATTTAAAAATACATTAACTTCTTCTCAAATTGGACCACATTCAAACTATAGACACCTTAACAACAAAATTTAAGTCTTCATGCCTCTTTGAAATCCAAAAAATCTAAATGAGAATTTAACTAATACCTCAGTGCCTGACAAAGACAAGAAATGTCTAATACCAAGTACATTATAAATTAAGAGGAGTATTATTGTCTTGGTCAGTCTGCATCAATCAACTTTTAGTCTACATCATCCTCATTCTCTTCATCTTCTTCTGGACCACCAGGTTTTTTGATGAGTTTCCAGTCTTCAGCTGTACTCAAAGCTTGGAGGGCAGACTTCTTCACCTTTTCATCACCATCTTCCAGAAGTGATAATGCCATCAGTATTTCCATGATGTCTGTTTCAATAAGCTTTTCTGCTACTTCTTTACAGGATTGCATCAAGTTGTTTACAATGTAAGCCCCTCGATATTGAAGACCAACATCTGGATTCCCCAGGAGTGCCCTCATGCTCTCTGCCCATGTTTCTACCTGCACAACTTTCTTGCAGCACTTCTTACTTACTGCTGTCAGTTGTGCCAGAGCACCAGCAGCTGCCAATGCAGTGTCTAAGTCTTCATCAGCACTGAGTAAAACAAGGTACTTTGTTCTATCGTTCTTTGCTTCATAGAGCTTGACCATGTCAGGTGATAAAATCAAGTTTGTAATCACTTGAGTAGCGGCTCGACAAAGCATTTCATGCTCTTCAAACATATAGCTTTCGATCTTGGCTATCCCTTGTTCCTTGATGATTCTTTGGCGCACAGTCTCATTTAATCCGGCCAAATTGCACAAAGCAAGAAGGGATTCAAAGTTTTCCAGAGCTGTACACTCAGGGTGAAGAAGAGTTAAAAGAGGCCTAATTACTTCTAAATTCCGCTGCCCAGGAAACGCTATTTCAGGATTCATTGTGATACCAATACGTGCCAAGGCTTGAGATGCTTGCCTCATCCCCTTTTCAGTGCCTTCAAGAGCCATTGGCAACAAAGCCTTAGCACCACCTTGCTGTACGACAATACCTCTGAGTTCTTGCTGTCCACATATGGCATTGAATATACGAGCTATCAACTCTTTGCTGTTGTGACTTTCTGTTTTAGCAAGTGATACAAGAGCACTAGTTATACCCTCATTGGCTAAAATAATCAGCCTTTTGGAGATGAAGTCTGGATCATCAAGTTCATGATCTTCCGGTATATGATGTTTTGCAAATTTTGCAAGCTCCACCATTTCAGGAATGATTTCCTGCTTCTCATATGCGTTGCAAAGGTTTACAAAGGTTGTAACAACACCATAAACAGCAGCTTGATTACCAGTCTTTGCAAGCTCAATGAGGGCATGGATAGCTGCTCTATCTGCAATTAATTTCTCTTTCACATCTGCATCCAGTGTTAAATAGGACAAACCTTCAGCAGCCCAACGTCTCATATCAACATCTTTGGAAGGACTTATAAGGAATCTCCGGCAAGCTTCAGCAAGCTTTGTGGTTGCACCATCAGCAAAGGGGCGTATAGATGCATCAGTTCCTCCACTGCTACCTAACTTGCACAAGCCAACTAGGGCACGTACCCGGATACCATCATCTTTTGATTGATACAGCTTTTTCAAGATATTGACACCCTGGGTAATAATTGATTTTATCTTGTCTTTCTTCGAGCTGGCAGCAATTATACATTCACATGCCACCTTCTGTTGGAGAACATCATCTGTCCCTGCCATCACAAGAATCATTTCCATCATGCCATCTCTAGCAACAATATTATTACCAACATCGAGTGGGCCAAGCAGCAGGGATGTTAGTGCCACTACAACACGAACTTTAGACTCTATTTCAGGAGTGATCAGCTTTCCTTTGACAAAATCATCAATGTTAGCCACAAAATCCTGCCTTGCTTTATCATAATACATGTTCTCATAAATTCTTGCAAGACAGACAGAAACAAGAGAGCGGGTGGAGTCTGTTATTTCCATGGACGATTCATATTTATACTCCTTCAGTTCACTGGCAACTTCCATCAAGCGCTGTAAACCGCGAATCTCAACAAGACGAAAAGCCCAATTGAGAGTAGAATAGTGAACATTTCTCATAATAAGCTCTATGATAGCATCTCTACCCAAACCAGACAAGGTACGACTTGTTACACTGAATAGGAGGCAAGTAAGTAGAGTATCAATTTCAGTTTTGTTTGCCTCACACAACTCAGCCTGTGGTTTGCTTTCTGGGGCATTGGTCATACCACTTAGTGTATTTAAAATGGTTTGGAGGCAGTACTGAGATGCATTTACTTGATTTTCACTCTGACAATTCAGAATATCCAGAAACCACGGTACACCCAATTGATGAAGAATTGACTTGGTACGTTCCAAGTTGTCTTTGCAGAGCTCGCCAATAATCCTGACACTTCCTAGGAACATTTCTTCATTTTTTTCCGTCTTTAAGAGGGCGGCTATTTTGGTGATGACACCCTCTTTGAACATAACATCACTACCAGAATTTTCACGTGCCAAAACCACCATATTATTCAGAGCTTGCTCGCGCTTCTCCTTCTCTGCTGACATATCAAAAGCGATTTCGAACATCTTCGCAACTTTGTTGGTTGTCTGCGACATGAACTTTAGGCGCTCTTGAACTATTCCGTGCAACCGCGCTAGTATAGGCTGAATGGCTTTGTTTCCTGGATCTACAGCGTGCACTTGACGGGCATCTTTGTAAGCTTCTTCCAATCGTTCCAAAGCTTCCAGAGCTTGACATCGTCGAAACAAGGACTTGGGGTCATTTGGAACTAAATCCAGGGCAGCGCTGCAATCCGCAACAGCTTTCTCATTCTCACCCAACTTCAGGTATGCTGCGGCTCTGTTCTTCAAGTACACACTCTTCTCTGCGGCACCATCCTTGGTAAGCTGAATGGCTTTCGAATAGCACCGAACTGCTGCATGCCAGTCACTCTCTTTGAAAGCTGCATTGCCCTCTTCTTTCCACTGCTGGGCTGATTGGACACTGTTAGCACTTTCCTGCGGCATGTTCACAACTCAAACTACCCTCACACACAGTGGCACGTATTTAAATATATCGCCTGCCGATGTTTACAGTACAAAGGGACGAGAAAACTACCGCACGTTCGAGAAGTCTGACACTCTATTTTTGGGCATGTTGAAGTTGGTTAGAAAATCAACGCCTCCTTACCCCTCCCCCCTCCTCCCTCATCGTCTGCTCTTTACACTAGCACCACCACAGCTCTTAATCTGTCTCAACAATAACACAGCAGCTGAAGTTGAAAAATTTAACCTAGGACCTCCACAAAACAAACTTCAAATGAATGATAACGAACGGAAAAATATTTTAGACGTCATTTAACGTTTTGAGCTCTTTTCTTCTGAAAGAAAGATTAAAAGACATCGTTAAAGGGTTGGCAGTACCAAAAATGTATTGCCAACTTATTAGAGCCACACATGGCAACACATGTCCGTATTTCTACACAATTTTTCTATTCAAATGATTAGCAATGAAAGTGACGGTTTGAAAATAGGTTATTTGCGATCAGTCTCAAACAAAATCTTAAAGTCTTTTGTCATAAGCAGAGTAAAAATAGACTGGTTTCGAAAGGGAAGTTTTCTCTAGAAGCAACAGGCAAATGAAGGCAGCCATGCCTTGTTATTTTTCATTAACTTTGTTATTATTTTTCGCATTTGAAGCTCGTACACTTCTTGTTCTTCCAAGGGCACTCCGGTGCGTGGGTGTTTTATGACTCAGGATGTGATTGAAAGGGCACCAAGGCGTGCACAGTTTGATAATTCCTCGTTGTCAACTTCCTTCCGTAGTTTTAGCTTTCAAGGTACTTTTAGAGTTCTTGTGTGTTAAAAGTTTTGTCAGAGAGCAAAAGCGAACTTGTACTCGATATAAATACAAGTGACTCCCAATTTAGCCGTGTTTCTCAAACAGATTTGTTGTTTTTCTTCGATGCACGTCCATTGTAATTCCAACCTAACTCGCATATTTAAGGTTACCTTTGTTGTTTTCATTGGACTTCTTAGCACTGTTTAAAGTATGTTTTGTCTTCTGTTTTTTTTTGCAGTGGATGTAACATGGGTCAAAATGGATCTGCTCCGGTGTTTTTGAAGATTCTAAATCATTTTGTGCAACTGATGTGCAATCAAATTGAATGAAAAGAAACATGCCATCAAGTGACACCATGGTTGACACGACGGAATCAAGTGTGACAGATAGTGTCGGCAGCAGTAGTGATGTCTCAAGCCATACAGCTTGTACGACAGTTGCAAGCCATCTCAGCCAACGCAGTTGTATGGATGTAGTTTGTGTTATTGATTTGGTTCAAGCAGAGAACTTGGCACAGCGGAAACGAGCCTGGGAAGAAGTTAAAGAAGCATGTGAACTTGTGAATGCAAATGCTCATCTTGTTCAATTTGAAAAGCTAGACTTTGGTGAAACTAATGTTCTTGACACATTTTATAATGCTGATGTAGCAATTGTTGACCTCTCAGTGCAAACTCAACAAAGTGCATTGTTTTATCATCTAGGAATACGTGAAAGTTTCAGCATGAAGGAGAACATTTTGTTGACTAACGATACTGACTCAGAAAGTACACTTCGTCTGAAAATTTCTTGTGGCTCTTACACTTTTGTTGCTTACAGCCTGACTAATCTTGGAGTCTGCCTTGTGACCTTAAGCTCATGTGTGTCTAAAGCTGGTGGCGATGAAGCAATTCCTGATGCTAAACCCCATCTATCTTTCAAGCTCAGAAAGTTACTTCAAGATGTGGAGGTTCAATCTAAGGCTCACATGAAAGAGAAGTTTTTGGCAGATCTTCGTAAAGCAAGAGAGTCATATTCTGGAGATGAGCTGTCAAAAGTGTTACATAATTTGCAGAAGAGGCTTGATGACCCCAGCATTTTGTCTGGAGATGTTGTCCTGAATTTACTCATTTCTTTCCGGGATGTTCAAGACTATGACGCCATGGTGACTCTTGTTGAGAATTTGAAGACCCTGCATGCCCAGAAGACATATTATATCAACAAACCTTACATAGCATACCTGTTTGCCTTTGCATTGGCACGCAGAAATAAAGAAGGTGATAGAGAGGAAGCCCTTAGTGTAACTGAAAAGGCTCTGGAGACAAAGGAAAATCAATTTCCTGATATGTTGTGCCTCTGTGGTAGAATCTATAAAGACAAGTTTGTGGAGTCAGGCCATCAAGACAAAGAGAGCTTGAACAAAGCAATTCACTGGTATAGGAAGGGTTTTGATGTACAACCCAATGAATATGCTGGCATCAACTTGGCTACACTGTTGGTGATTGCAGGCAATGAATTTTCAAAATCAGAAGAGTTACAGAATATTGGTAGAGTACTAAACAACTTAATTGGTAAAAAAGGCAGCCTCAGTTCTCTCAAGGAATACTGGGATGTTGCGACCTTCTTTGAAATCAGCGTTTTAGCAGAAGACTATGCTAAAGCCATCCAGGCTTCCTTGTGTATGTTCAAGCTGAAGCCGCCTAATTGGTATCTGAAAAGCACCATAGGTAATATAACCCTGATTGACCGTTTCCGCAAAAAAAATGATGAGTCTCCACCAACGGCAGAAGAACAAATATTTGGATTTTGGATGGAATTTTTTATTGAAGCAACCAAGACTGAAGGTGGAGAAAATGATATACGATTTCCTATGCTGGTTCTAGAGCCAAATCGTGTTCTTATGCCAAGTTTTATCACAGTGAATTTAGGAGCTGAGGAGAAATCATTGCAAATTTACAATATATGTGTAAATTGTCTGAAAGGGAAAGATCGGTGTCATCAGGTTCATGAGTGGCTCTTCACAGCCAGCCAAATCCGAAGTGTCAGTTTGTACAAGAGAGATGAGCGCAGTTTATTTCTTTATGTTCATCAGAATGGTGATGATTTTCAATGCTATCTTCCATCATCTATGTGTCGAGAGAGGTTACACAGTCTTATACTTGAAATGACTGCAAATGAAGAGGGAATGGTGACTGATTTAGACACAGACATCTCTAAAGATCAAATAAGCTATGAATATGATCTAGATGACAATGGCAAAAAAGTGATCTTAGGTAAAGGAACTTACGGAGTTGTCTATGCTGCTAGAGATATCAACACTCAAGTTCGCATCGCTGTCAAGGAAATACCTGAAAAGAAGATAGGAGATGTCCAGCCACTCCATGAAGAGATTCGGTTACATTCCCAACTGCGGCACAAGAACATTGTTCAGTATAAAGGGTCTGCTTCAGAGGATGGCTTTTTCAAAATATTCATGGAGCAAGTACCAGGAGGCAGTCTTTCCTCTCTTTTGCGATCCAAGTGGGGTCCACTGAAGGAGAATGAAGCCACAATAGCATTTTACACCAAGCAAATTTTGCAAGGCCTAAAATACCTCCATGATCAGAAAATTGTTCATCGAGACATAAAAGGTGACAATGCTCTTGTTAACACATACAATGGAGTTGTGAAAATATCTGATTTTGGAACATCCAAGCGGTTGGCTGCGCTGTCACCAAGCACTGGAACTTTTGCTGGAACCCTTCAGTATATGGCTCCTGAAGTTATTGATAAGGGACAAAGAGGCTATGGAGCTGCTGCTGATATTTGGTCACTGGGTTGTACCATTGTTGAAATGGCAACAGGGAAACCTCCTTTCATAGAGTTAGGTTCCCCGCAAGCTGCTCTTTTCAAAGTGGGCTTCTATAAAAGTCATCCGGCTATTCCAACTGAACTCTCTGAAAGAGCCAGAAATTTCATTCTCCGCTGCTTTCAGCCTGAACCAGAAGCCCGTGCCACTGCTGCAGAACTTTTGGATGATGTGTTTTTGACGGAAAAGAAGAAGAGCATCAATATACCAACCTCAAGAGACCTGAACAGAAGTGTTTCAGTTCCTGCTGAAAGAATTGTAGCACAGCAACAACACAAGTTGGACAAGCAAACCAGTGCAAATGCAGCAATATCACGGTCACCTGTATCACCTGATTCAGATTCTCATGTCCTATCTTTGTATGAAACGGATTCTGGCAATATGTCAAGGAGAAGTTCCTCTGGTGGGCTGCTCTCTCCTGATGTGGATCTTAGTACCTCAAGAAGCACGTGTGGTTCTCCTAATCTTGTGAGCACTACCGAAACTGCTGGAGAACAAGACGGCTTCTATCTTTTAAGGAAAGGCTCTCAGCTGACAGTTACTCTCTGCAAGGCACTTGAAGAAGATGAAGACAAGCTTTGCGAAATTTGGATAGAGGGTATTGAAGAGGAGGTTGGAAATCCTCTCCTCTCCCATTCTCATCTCAGGTTTTTGATCAACTCTCTAAGGACTTATATTCTTGATCAAGACAAGAAATCTTTGAACAATGATTTTCAGCACTTGAAAAAAGAATTACAATTTGATGATGCTGCAATCAATCAACTTCGATTGGCCATCTATAGATTTCAAGATCCAGTGAAAGAAATTTTGAAAATGAGACACATTAAGCCACACTGGATGTTTTCTCTTGATGATTTAGTTCGAAGTGCTATACAGGCTGCCATAACCATCCTGTCCCCTCAGCTGCATCCAAATATTGGTGCAGACGATCAGGGCTGTAGCACTGTTTCATCAATCAACCTTCTGAAACCACCAAAAGAGCTTGACAACAATGATGAATGCAACAGTAATGACATCAGGGTGCAAATAGAGCAACTGCGGGAGGACACACTGTGTGTAGTGCAGCAGTTACTGGAAACCCAAAGGGCTGTACATAGTTTATTGAGCCAATCTCTCCAAGATCTGCATAATCAAGTAAATAATATACAACAAATACTACGCTGTGATTCTCCCTCTTCACAGGGAATGCCTGCCTCAAACACTTCTACTTATCGCTTACTTCCTCAAATTAGTGTGAGTGATACATCTAATGAGGATGGTGACTTGTTTGAGTGGCTAGAGAAGTTGGGTGTTGATAAAACCTCTCAAGACCTTTTCAGAGATGAGCAGCTCTGTCTAGATGATGTTCTTAATTATGTTACAAGAAATGATCTCTCCAAGCTCAATCTTCGCATTGGTGTTGAGCTGCGCATTTGGAAAGCAATATTACAGCATAGGAAGGATAATCGTCAGCTGTTGAGCCAAAGTCAACGTAGTTCATCTTGTGCTCCACCTTCACCTGACGGAAATAGTGTGTCAATTTGAGGTGTAGATATTTTTGTGAAATATTCATTGACCAAATTTATGAATTGAAAACTATGTAACAAACTGTGATTTTGATAATTTTAAAATAACTTTAGAGGATGAGTCATGGTGCTACTAATATAATGCATAAAAGAAGACTAATTTTTTTTTGATGATATTATAAAGTTTATGAAAAGACTTTAGTGCATTTGTAAGTTGGTCTCCTTGGGCACCTCAGGAGAAAAGTTGCAATTTTTTCGTTTTTTAAAAAGCAGTTATCTTTTCTGATTACTATTGTGTCCTTGAAAATATTAATTACATTGGTCTAGAGGCATAATAATAAATTTCACTTTGTTTAGGTCAATTTGACAAGTGGTTTAGAACTTATCTATGACTAATTCAACTGGTAAATTTTGATAAAGTGTTATTGCGTCCATATTTCTATTGATTATATTGTCATGTGCCAAAAGAAAAAATCAAACTAAAACAAGATAGGTTGAGTCTCTCTCTTTCTCTGTGTACTACTTGGCATAACAAATATCTTACGTATTTTATTTTCTGGTAAAAGCTTGTGTCACATGTTTCAGCCTCCTAAATTTTATTTATTATGAATAACTAAAGGATTGTCCCATGGTTTTTTTCTTTTTTTGCTGGCATGAATGATTATTTGTTTTATGAATGATACGAAGAGTAACATCAACAATACAGCCGATGAAGTCATACTTCGAAGCAGGGTACTACCTTCTGTGCTGAAATTCATGTGATTGTTAAGCAGGGTATTTGATAGTCCTTTTTAATGATTCACAGATTAAATATGTACTATGGGGGAAAAATTTTGTTGTCTTTGAAACATAGTTGATGCTAGTATTACTTTACATTATTTACTTAGTGTTACCCCTCTGTGCCATTGTAGATTGTGATCCACTAACCATTGAGTTAATGGAAGTCAAATATTTTTGTAAGTGTATTTCTTGTTGAATTCTTGTTAGATGTTTATTCTACGTGGTAATTTTTTTCTGAGGAATGTGTTTATTTGCTTGAAAAGACTTTTGATGCCTATGAGTCTGACTCTATAATTGTGAAATTTTGTTGACGTTTTGGAAATATTTGTATAGTTTAACTTGTCTCTGTATAAATTTGTACAACCCATAATTTTGTTTAGAATGTTTACTAACTTTGTTATTTTTGATGTTTAAGTATTACGGTTGATATTTGATGTCAATTAAAATGAGAAATACTGTCAATCCACTTTGGTACCCATTAAAGACATATTAATTACAGAGAGTTTATCAATTTATCCTCCATTCACACATGAAATACTGCAAGTTTTGCTCCACAAAGCGTAGAATAACTCGAAAATTCTGAGGAAAAGCGTCTTTGAAACCGAAATTGAATCGCGCGCCATAAGGGCGCACCCACTCACTGCTTCTTGAATGCGTACACGTCACAGAACAACTTAGTTTTCGATTATTCTGTTTAAAATACCAAATACGAGGGGGAAATGTAATATACTGTCCCCAGCTATCCTTAAATACCCACAGCGCGATGATTAAGATCTGTTGAGCGTGTTCGTAGACGGGGGAAGGAGCCGAGGAAACCTAGGCCTATTCTCTTGTGAAGTGCGGCTGATGTATTTTATATGCGTCAAAAATGGTGAAAATAAGGACGAAATGGGGCAAATGTAGGATTTCCTTTGGCTTACATAATGACGGAAGGATGTGAAGAGTAAGTAACCGACGTCGGAATGGTTCTGCGTACGCAGGGGTGGATAAGGCGAAGGAAATGGTCCTGGCCTGGCTCATCATGCCTATCCTACGATTTCGTTCAGTTGTGGCGTGCTAAGTCAGGCTTGAATCCGTCACATTTGTGTCATTTGGCCTCCGCGGGTTTCCTGCGTGTGTCATGCCTCTGCTCTGTTTACAAACGGTGTCCGATTGATGAATGCTGTGCCGCGCAGACTATTTGTGTGGCATTAGTTTTGATGCATGAATGGTGGGTGCAGCTGCAGTGGTCTGATCAATGAAGACTACTTCATTCATTCATTCTTGCCAGGCGGCTGCTTCATTCAGGTCTATTTGGTGGGGAGGGTCTGATAATCACTTGTTTTCAATTGATAGGGCCTCTGTTTGGTGACGCCTGTCAGGATGTTGCCCCGAGACAAGTGTTAAAGCCATGGCAAAAGGCAATATATAGCCAAAGCCTACACAAAGAAAGGCGAGAGGCCGTCCGTCCGTGGCCCAGTTATTCGAATCAGACTAAACTGCCTGATTTTATCCAGCAGACATTACACGTTTATCATATCAAAGTTTTCATTTTACTTGAGTGCATCATTATTGTTGACAGAGTGACCACAGAAATTGATTAAATCAAGTGTGTGATGACATAAAGATTAGGTTATGGACACTTGTCCTCCTGTGCAAAGTCATAAAAGAATTTCAGTTAAGGACACCGAGGAATTTCTCGATTCCTTCACATTTCAAAATTATGAAACTATGGAAATTTTAAGGTAGCATCCTCTCTTAAATAAATGTTTTCCTCCATCGTGAGTTTAACTGTGGCCACGTATGATTTAGTGCACCAGCTCATGTTTTCATTGAAATGAATTCTTGTTAAGAAGCGTTGCTTATCCCAAATTTGTGTTTCAGTGGCAGCAGCGGGTCCTTCCTGGTGCGAGTGCGGGCGCAGGTGATGACGCGCGATGACAGCACTGGTGGTTGGGTCCCTATGGGTGGTGGGGGACTCTCCAATGTGTCTGTTCGGAAGCGCTCAATAACTCCAGAAGAGACTAATCATGAATATCTTATTTTTGGAAAGAGAATATCAGACCAATCTGTAAGTAATTCTGGTATGAGACGGTTTACTCAGTTTGAATAATACCACTGAGGTACAGCACTAATGCAAGTCTATTTCATACTTTCAGGTTGTTCTCAGCTGCCTTATCAAGAAAGACTTTGAATATCATAAAGTAATGCCCACATTTCACCACTGGAAGACTGGAGAAAAGAAGTTTGGCCTCACCTTTCAGACTGCAGCTGACGCTCGTGCATTTGACAAAGGAGTTCGGACTGCCATAGAGGAATTATTACAAGGTTAATATATTAAGTTTTTTGTAACTTTTTTGAATTATTCCTCTTATCAGCCATTATGCTAGCAAGTGTGAGTGGTCCATATTCATACATTTGATATGAATAAAACATCATCGTTCTCAACATTTCTAATGTTTTTTTGAGCTTATGGACTCCCACTGAACAGTAGCTTACATGTTAATGAAGTCTCTAGATAATATTAAAACTTTCTTGTTTGGAGCTAAATGAAATCAACCCCTTTCCGTCTCAGCGCATCCCATTTATTTTTTACATTTACGAAGCTTTATTAAAAAATACTTTATTGCTGCCTTTTTATAGTTCATCACACTGGGAATGGCCCAATCCTAGATGGTAAAAGCGATTCCCAACTACCGCTTCCTCTTCCCCCTTCAGTCCAGGCTTGCCCACTGTCAGGTAAGAAATCCTGAGTGTGTTGAGTTCATTTCTCCGAACAATTAAGTTTGCTCTTTAAGCCAAATGTACATATGTTTTCATTATTTTTACTGGTTTTTTTTTTTTTTCTGAACAGGAATTGAAAGTACACATCACCATGCAAATTATAATGAAGACCCTGGTGATGATGATGTATTTATGGTAAGATATTTTTTATCTTCACTTTCTTTCTTTCTTTTTCTCTTTTGGCTCCACCCTATATCTTACCTGTGTGTGTTGATTTTCTGCAGACATTAAATCTCCCTGTTGAGCGAGGAGATTCTCAATCATCATCAGAATCATCAGGTGCTAAATATAGCTCCACACAGCCGTGCGATTTGACCATCTCGGGCCATCCTCGGATTAACTACCTATCTCATCACAGCATTGATAGTCCTGGAAAAGGTTCAGGTCCTGAGTGCCCCCCTCGTGTCAAAGAACCACCCCCTGGAGGAGGAGGCACTGTAGGAGGCAGTGCAGACAATTATTCATATGTTCAGCTTACTGCTGTGCATGAATATATCTACCCATCTATTGAGGATCGAAGAGACAGCTTAAAAAAGTCAAGTCTTGAGACCCCGTTAACATCTACATCTTCTGTTCAGCCCGCTTTGCCTTCGAAAAAGAAGGACAAAAGAAAAAACTGTAGACACTGCCAGGTGAGATCTATTTATTTTGATCAGGATGTTGATAAGAGGTAGCCTATTCGAAACTAAATTTATCCTTTCCCTCTTCAGGAACACTTTTCAGAAGATGGCAATCCTCGAGGCAGCTGTGAATACGCCCCAGACTGTGTGCGATCAGCAGTGGATTATGTGACATGCATATCATGTGCTCAGTGCATGCTGTATCATTGTATGGCTGATGAGGAAGGAGAATTTGTGCAGCAACCTTGTGACTGTAATCCCGTAGAGGAAAATTGGTTAGCAAGGAGAAGACGCTGGATTGGGCTGGCTTTATTATCGATAATTGTGCCCTGTCTTTGCTGTTACCCACCCTTGCGAGCCTGCCATTGGTGCTGTGTGAGATGTGGTGTTTGTGGTGGCAGACATGAAGCCAACTCATAGCCCTTACTAGCTATGCCTGATCTTCCCTGCCTTCCCCTCCCTTTATTTTAATGTGACTGTTGTCTTGCCTCACTCGTTTTGTAAGCTTTCTGCCAACAGTCCACTCATCACTTTTGTAGAGAGATTATTGTTACTGCAAAGCAAGTGATTGACACCTCACAGGAAAGTTACCAAAGTCCTTAGATAAGTACTAAGAAGACAAGATTAGCAATGGAAGGTTGGGAAGTTGCTGAGGAGGCTTGGCAGTGTAGACTCCAGTTGTGATAAGATGTGGGTTGGCATTCCAGCAGTTAGAAGCTCTTTAACCTGACCTTCTCTTCCTGCCCATTTAATTTAATAATATATTGTCTAAAATGCCGAAAGCTTAAATTATTATTTTTTAAATAAATTCACTGATTATATTTATCATGAATCGTTTATCAATGCTATCACACTGACATGTTGACATTGGACTCTTATCAAGAGACTGAGTGAGAGAGTATACTCATTTGTGTGAAAGTTGTGTGATCTCTTTTGCGTGATGTTATTTGAATTCTGTGTATGAGTTTTGCTATGATTGAAAGGTACCCGGTGTACGTCATGGAGTGGCGTGTTCCGTTGCCGCTCTGTTTCATTTTGTTTGTATCATCTTAGTTGACTGATGTGGCTCTACTTCGGGATGATAGTTTATCTAGGACCAAAAGTTATGCTCACTGAAACTGCACCAATACTTGTTACACCTGTCCAGAGTTGTTCAAACATTGGGCTACGAGAGTGCTCAGTGGGGATTTATGTATGTTTTACATATCTCCTCAACTGTTGCATCCAGGGACCACTGGTCTCAGTCCAAAGAGAGCCACAGTTCTGTTTTTAAAAGGCTTAAGTTTCTCCCTTATTTTACTTTTTTGTATTTTACTTTTTCTCCCTCTTTTAGAATTTACACTTTATGTAAATGATAAACTATTTGATTGTACAGTTACCTTAATTCACCCACCTTCATTAGTATATTTTGAATATACCTGTGCGTATCCTACCTTGTTCATTATTAGACTTGAAGAATGTCAGACAATTATTACCTGCTCATGTCTGTTACTTTATGACTGTTACTCTTAAACTGCAAAGCTTAAAAAAAAAGGAATAAAAAGCAAATTTCTTTTGCTTCTCTTATTAATTTTCTTATTTGAGTGGTAATAACTCATGGTTTGAAGCATTCTATATGTTCTTTATTTTTTCAATACTGTTGCATGTCCCATAAAACCAGTGTATCACAATTTATTCCGACAAATACTGTAGCGGAAGGCACATAATGTGCACTCCTCTAAACCAGTCATTTGTTGTGTGTGAAATTTTTATCTGAAAGATGAGTGAGTGAAGTGTGTGTGTGGATGTTATATATTTGATTATTACGTATGTTGTATTTGAACTCTGAAACGCAGAAATTTGTTAATGTTATGAGTATTACGATTATGGATATTACTAAAATCTTTAGTAATAATATTTTAGGTTTATAGTAATATTGTCACAATTATCGTTTTGATTTGGTATTATCACTGTTACTAGAAACAAATAATATTCATCTGTTATACATACTGAAAGTGTAATTAATTGGTTTTTTTATTGCTGTCAGTTATTGCTACTTACAGTTACAATGCTTAATTTAGCATATATTTATTGGTTTGAAAATTGTTGATTTGATGCACTTTTCTGTTATGATGGAAGTTCTCATTGCCTAGACGATATGTCTCAATCTGGTGTTTCCTGTGTGTTTTTGCCAAACTTTTGTACAGTATGAGTACATAAATATTTTTCATCCATGACCCTTCTTTCTTGTTATGCCTGCTATCCCATGGTTCTTGCGCAACTTGAATTATTGTTGAGGATTGATCCATTTCCCCCAGACCAGTATTCATGTGGCACAGTGTGGATGCAAACTATAAAGACACGCAGTTTATTATGAAATAATGGGGAACAAAATATTCAAAGCATACTTAATAAGACAGAGCTTTAACATTACACATTTTGTTACTTTGAGCTGGCACTGTTAAGGAAAAGCTATTTAGTTTACAAAAATAACATTCAAACTTGTGTGGAATGTTGATCTACAGTGCATGCATATCTATAAAGTACTTTCCAAAATTCAAATCTGAACCTGAATAACTTCTACTACTTACTGTCAACATTTTAAAAAGTGTAGTGGAATGACAATCCAGTTCCACAGACACTTTTGTGTACAGAAATTTGCTTGTAATATTAAATTATGGACTTATCATGCAAGTGCAGGACATATCTTATCTTTCAGTTTGCACTTCACACCTTTACGATGTGTGCAGCTAGTCAACAGTTTTGAACAGTAAAGCCGCCAGAAAATGTACCCAAGCAAACATTAACAGTAATAGTAAGAAGTTTCGCTTTTCCACATTCAATGCTTTTTATGTCCATCAAACATCTTCTAATCTCTTATTCATCATATTTAGGTATGTTACAAGTAATAAGGAAAACAGGAGCATGAAAAACAGATAAGGTCGAGTGAAGCAAAGGTCATGCCAGTTGTTTCTCAGTAATTAAAGCCACACATTTTCTACTGAAAGCTCAAGTCTAGAAAACACTAAATCTCTATATTGTTATAATATAAACGTCAAACATCACATTGAGGTGATTCTCTTTATGTTCCAGCTGTGTTCATGAATTATTTATGTACAGGATATTAGTTTTATCTGATGGGTTTTTTTTATTTCACACTTATGGAAAAGAGAAGTAAAACCTTTCGGCAACATGGGGGTGCAGGAAATAGGGGTAGGAGCTGTGCTTGTGGAGTTGTACAGCCTTTGGACCCCACTGTCAGTTATGGCTGTGACACATCTTTTTAAACCAGCTGAAAGACCAGAAGTTCAACAGAGCTTGTCTTTTTTACTTGTGTACTTGTACTAAATATTCCTTAATATCTACTCGTCCTCATTGTTTAATGCAGAGATGAAAGGAGTATTCTAAAAAATAGTAAACAACACTTATTTGATGGTGGTTGGTGGAGTTAAGAAAAAAAATATGAATCCTCATTAATAAGAAAACCGAATGAAACACCAAATGCCTCTTTTAGGGAAGGGACAAATTAATTTAGGTCATGTGCTCCGCTACAAAACCTCCTCACTGACTAAAAGTGGTACATTTTCATTAAAAACAAAACGATCTTTCATAAGAATTGGAAGGTGGTTGTATAATGAGAGGGGTGTCGATCGAAGTGTGCAGATGGAATAACACAAAAGGACTTATGAGTTCTTCTACAAGAGAACCACTGTCAGCTTCGACTTCAACAAGAAATTTAAACTTGAGATTAAAATATGAAAAGAAAGAGAACGGAGAAGTTGATTTTTCGATTGAGTGCTAAAATGCTAGATTTACAGAATCGCTGCTACTTAGAAGTGTAACAAAAGTCTGTTGAGGAGATCTCCTATCACCTGTTATGATGACACAACAATAAGTTCAAGTTTTTAGCTGATGCTTGTTCAGATTGCTGGACAGGTAAAATTGTTAAAAAACTTAAATGTTACTAATAAGCCCAGTTCCCACTCAAAAAAGAAAGTGAATTGCTTTCACAATAGAGTTTAACTTAAACACTTGTTCTTTCATTTTTAGACGCAACACAATTGAGACAAAATTTGAGCATAAGCCCTACCCTTACTCTAGCTTGCTCTCTTACATCATCATGGCATCCAGTCTTCTTCACTTTGCTCCTCCCATGAAATCCTAAAATCTGTTTCTATAATATTCTCTTCTTTTGGAAAAGAAGGACCCTGTTACTCCACTGTACATACCCCCTACAAATCTCTTAGCGCCCATTGCAAGAAAATCAAAATAATAATTATTTGCATTTGCTAAAAAGAAAAAGAAGTTAGCTCCTGTTTCTTGGCTTGGTCAGCCAACTTACAGACTTACAGCGCATTTTCTTAGAGATGCAAGTTTATTAACCGATCGAATTATTGTACAATATCGCAAGACTGGATGAGATTAGGGCTAATCTGAAGGCATTACAGATCTTGCGTCATGAAACCTTAGACATCAAGTGCCCAAACCTTTATTTAAAAGAAAAAATATTGAAATATGTTTGAGAGAATAGAAAAAATACGTGGCTTACCACTTGTGCAGTTTGTTGATAAGTGACTGAGTTGGAAAAGCCTACTAACACAACCGGACCATCAATGGCGTCCTAGAATGGAGTTTCAGCCCATAGCGCCTTTGGAGACAAATTAATTTTTCCACACAAGCTCATTAAAATTGGTAAAGGACGATGAAAATCTTACATGGGGTGCTAGCATTTTGTGATAAGAGCGACATCAAAGAGATATATCAGAAACAATCAGAGAACTTGAACAAATGCACTCACATGTGAAGTGACATTAACACACTTCTCAAGCGCCACAGAACCACCCACAACAGTCAAAGTAAAATTTAATATATCTGTTCACCATGAAAATAACATGTAGCCAGCAAAGTCGGAGTATTAAATGGACGTACAATATAAAATGAATTTCTGACTAAGTATAACTTATTTATTTCTACAGCAATAGTTCTTCAGGTACTATGTTAATTACACTCAATTTATTACCGTAAGCTGATTCATTTATACATAATTTCACCATACTCTTTTCACAAATTATCTTAGGCAATTAATTGTATCTAAAAAAAATCAACAAAAACGCACATGCTGCTTTTTTTTGTCAGTTTCTCTCGCGACTACCATTCTGTATTCACGTTGAGGAAACAAACAGCGATAGAGCGGCAGAAATTGGGAGACTAGATTTCACAACCATAGAAGAAATTATAGACTTAGTATAGAATAACGTTAAGTACCGGAACCGGCCGATCTTCTTCACCCACACACGTTCAAAAACAATTTATAAATTCATACCGAAATGGAATGCGCCATCGCGCGCCCAGCGGACGCGCCCTACAGAGTCTGATAAAGGAATCTTCACTGTTCTGTCGGATTTCAACAGGAGATTTCCGAGTCCACGGGCAGCGGGGCCGGGGCCGGCGCACCATCCCCGTCCGTCCGATATTTGCCCACGCCGTAGGTCTTCCCCAGCAGGGACGCGTCCAGCGTCAGCGGGTTGGGGTTCTTGACGGCGTCCTTGCCGGCGTCCTTGACGACGTCCTTGACGACGTCCTTGACGACGTCCTTGCCGTTGGGCAGCGGCCCGTTGCGCTGCTGGCTGTGCTGGCTGTGCTGGCTGTGCTGGGTGGGCATGCCCGTCAGCATGGCCTTGTCGATGCCCAGCAGGCTGCCCAGGCTGGAGCTGGAACTGTCTCCCTGCAGCAGCGGCTGCTTGGACCGGGAGCCTGGAGGAAGGAAGGAGGAGGGAGGGATGAGTGAGACTGTTGGACGAGACGGGCCTGACGGGCCGATGGAGCGCCTGGCACGCAGGCAGCAGCAGCGGCCCAGGCGCGCACGCGAGCACAGCATGTTGCCTATCCTCTCGTTCACAGGCGCTCTGCGGCCATTGCAGCCATTGCTGCACTCCAGCGCGACATCGCTTGTGCCGCCTGCCGCGTGCCACGCGCAGCGAGTGTACTTGCACTCGCACTCGTCCATGTACTCACGGGTGGGCGTGTGGCCGGGCATCCAGACGTCCCCGGGGGCCGGCCCCGGGGGCGGTCGGTGCGGCGGGGGCGGCGCGGGGGGCAGCCCCGTCGTCGGGGAGGTGCTGCCGACGGGCACCGTGTGCATGGGCACCAGGTAGTCGGCCGAGCGCTCCAGGCGCTCCAGGCGGTCCAGCTCCGCGACGGTCAGCCCCGTGGCCGACGTCATGTCCGCCGAGTCGGAGGACGCCGACGGCGCCACGCTAAACGAGGGCGGCATCGCGTCCGGGTCGGTGGAGCAGACCTGGGGGCACATCAGCACGGCGGCGTCTCTCAGAACCGAAAGGTGTTTTCGTCGCTCAATCTCTCTCGCACTTATGGGGAGCGCCGTAAGGGTGCGAGAGGGACGGAGGGACGGTGGCACCGTTCGGAGCCCGCTAGGTTGGATCGCAAGCGCGCGGCCCTCGTGTCAATCCCGCCGCAGCGCACAGCGCCGCACAGCGCATGCACTGGCGGAGACCAGCTACTTCGTTGGCGGTGAGTGGGAGTCGGGCTTCTTAGCTCCAGTGCTGGGGTGGGGTGGAGTAGGGCGATGGACACACTGGCCTTCGACACCACGACATCATTCTCAATCCATTACTGTGCGGGTGAGTTCGAACGTGAAAGGCAGTGCCAGTTCTTTTGCGGGCGACGGAAGCCCAACGAAACGTGCAGTGCGCGGTGCACTACACCGGACTGAACCTCTCGGTGTCTCGGTGCGTTGGTGTTGGTGCGTTCGCCTGGCTTTGGCCTGGCTGGGCTGTGTGCCCTGAAGGGCCTATCTCTACCTCAAGTCAACGAGTCGCGTACCTTGGAGTCTTCTAGCCAGCCGTGCACTAGGGCAATCGACTTCGCCATCGCCTCAAAGTCATGGTTATACCTAATGCGCAGGCCCTGGAAAGCCCAACACACAAGAATAGTGAGCGCCGGAAGGGGGATATGGGGGGGGGGGGCAATGGGGGCTGAAGAAGCGACTGGCGATGAAGACGTGTCTCGAACACGACGCGCAATACGACGCTGCCGCTGCTGTTGTACTTCTGTTGGGGCGTACTTCTTTTTTTTCTTTCTCGGTCTTTTTTTTTTCTTTCGTGTCTGGCTCAGGAGCACTCAGGAGTTGACTACAGTCAGCTCTGGTTAACTGTCCCGAGTTGGCTCCTGGTTAGCTGTCCCAGAGACATCCCCACCACCACCGGCCGGCGAGGGATTACCGGCTATCCCCGGTCCCGGGTCGGCCGGGCCTACCTGCCCGGCCTCTGGTTAGCTGTCCTCGGCGCCTCCCGGTTGTCGGGACAGCTAACCAGAGCTGACTGTAATAAGACGCATGGCGAGAGCAACTGGAATAGGATACAAGGAGCCCCACCGGTTTGGACTTAGATCCACTCGATGGGAAGGGGAGTTCGTTAAAAAGACAAAACCAATAGAAACTACAGCAAAAAATCGGGACACAAGTGCGCCAACACGGTGGGGCAAAACAAAACTTTTTTTCTTGAAAAGTCGAAGAACAGAACGAGTTGGTTGGCTTACCGACTCACTCAGCCCTATCATAGGCCGAAGGGGCGTGGACAATATCTCCGGGTCCTGAAATCACAGTTTTAAAAAATGATTTCATTTTGAGCGCATTTTTGTTGTGTACACGCAATGCTGCCAGAAATGGTAGTCATCGATTGCCGGCAGCAGCGGTGGCATTTTGGCCCTCGGTACCTGGAGGCACTCCAGCAGCTTCTCCAGGATGGTGGCGAACTCGGGCCGCTTGTGGGGCTCCGGGTGCCAGCAGGACGTCATGATGGAGTAGACGGGCTGCGGGCAGTTGGGCGGCGGCTCCAGCCGGCCCCCGGACACCACCAGCGACATGACGTTGCGGTTGGCGCACCCCGTGTACGGCATGTATCCGAGTGACATCACCTCCCACAGCAGCACGCCGTAGGACCTGCACCAGCCAAACCGTTAGCCCCCACCCTCCCGGCGTAAAAAGCACCAACCACAAAACACGAAAAAAGGGAAGAGGTTTTTTTTTTCTCACCAGACGTCCGTTTTGACCGTGAAGATGCCGTCGAGGAAGGCCTCGGGGGGCATCCACTTGATCGGCAGCATGGCCTTGCCTCCCTTCCGGTAGTAATCCGACCTGCGGCAGAGACGCGCGGACGCGGTGTCGTTAAAAGAGCATCTCCGGAAACGTTTCCCCCACCCCACCCCCCGCCGTCACTTACATGTACACTTCTCTGGCCATGCCGAAGTCGGCGATCTTGACGATGCGCCCGGGGGTCTTGGCCGTGAGCAGGCAGTTCCTGGCCGCGATGTCGCGGTGGATGAAGCGGTTCTCCTCGAGGTACTTGCAGCCCTTGGCCACGTCCACGCAGCACGCCAGCAAGTCCTTCATGCACAGCGATCCCGGCCGGTCCTGCAACAGTGGGGTGGAGACAGGACTTCTCCCTGAAGGAGGCAAAGCGGCTTTGGCAAGGCCGCCTGAGAGGTAGGAAAGAGTCGCGCTTTGCTCGGTCATAATTTCGGACGCGTTTCGAGCTCCTGAGTCGCTAAATGGGACTCGAACCGAGCGTGTGACCCCACCAATGGATTGCTCTCCGGATGAGCAATCCATTGGTGGGGTCACACGTTCGGTTCGAGTCCTGTTTCGCGACTCTGGGAGCTCAAAACGCGTCTGGAGTTTTGTCCGCCTCCACCGGTCTTCTGGTCCACTGTGCATCCCCCTGCACCCGTCCCTGGATCCGCCCCTGGAGGGAGAAGAGCGGGGAATGCTTACCGGCCGGGGCCGCGACTCGCGCAGGAACGTCTTGAGGTCGCCGCCGGACAGCAGTTCCAGCACGATGTACCGGGGGTGCTTGTCGAAGCACACGCCGATCAGGTGGACGATGTTGGGGTGGTTGAACTTGCCCATGATGAGCGCCTCCAGCATGAAGTCGTTCTCGGCCTGGAGCGTGGACAGCTCGGGCAGAGTCTGCAAAAGAGGAAGTCGATGTGTGTCGCTGTCAGTCCCGCGGCGAGTTGTTCCGGAGGGGACGGCTTTGGCTGTCTGTCCCTGTCACTCACCTTGACAGCCACGGGCATCTCCACCGCGTCACCGGGCCGCATCTTGTACAGGCCCTCGTACACCTCGCCGAAGGCGCCCTGGCCCAGCGCCCGGAGCAGGCGCAGGTGCTCCCGGGGCACCTCCTTGAGGTCGCGCAGCGTGTAGCGCTCGCCGGCGAACTCGTAGTTGGGGTTGGTCTCCGTCATCAGGTCGTTGCGCAGGTTGCGCAGCTGGAGGTCGGCGCCCGTCGGCCCTTTGCGCCGAAGGTGCATCTCCTTGCGCCTCTGGAACTTGTTGTCTGCAAAACGAAGCACGGTCAAGACCCGCCAGCTCGGGTTGACACATCGCGTCGCGCTCCGCGCTTTACTCACAGGTGTACAGCGCGCAGCCGCACATCATGATGACCATGACCACCAGGACGCCCACCAGCACGGGGATGATGTAGTGGTAGATGCTCGTGCCCTCGGCTGGAACGAGACAGGCCGATGACAACACGCCGACACCGCCAGTGCAGTGAACAGGGAGAAGGGACTTTGGACTCACGCTTGCAGAGGTTGCCGTTGACCCTCCACTCGGGCGGGCACACGCACTCGACGCGGGAGCGCTTCTCGTTGAGCGCGGCGCAGCGGTAGGCGCAGTCGCAGCCCGCCAGCCCGGGGATGATGACGACCCTGCCGCTGCCCTCGTGCAGGCCGGGCGTGGCCTGGCGCAGCGTGCCCTCCAGCACGGCGGAGTAGCCGCCCTCGCCGTGGTAGTAGCGCTCCGTCCACGCGTTGCCGCCTGCGCAGTCGCACATCGCACGCGTCTCTATCTCTATCGCACCCCTACGCACAGTGGGCCAGAGGACCGGTGGAGGAGGCCAAACCTCTAGACGCGTGTTGAGCTCCAGAGTCGCTAAACAGGACTCAAACCAACGTGTGACCCCACCAATGGATTCCTCGTTCGGAGAGCAATCCATTGGTGGGGTCACACGGTCGGTTCGAGCCCCATTTAGCGACCCTGGAGCTCAAAACACGTCTCGGACTTTGGCCGCCTCCACCAGTCTTCTGGCCCACTGCGCTACGGAATGTGTCTATGGACGTGGTGACCTACCGGAGTAGCCGCCCCCGCCGCCCCCCGCGGCGCAGCCTCCGCCGCCGCCCCCGAAGCCGCCGTCGCCCTTGCCGGACGAGCTGTTCTTGCAGCCGCGGCCGCCCAGCGCGCCCTGCAGCAGCGACAGCCCGGCGCGGTCCGACACGTTGGAGGCCAGCCAGCCGCCGCCGGGGCCCGCGGGCCTGGCGCCGAAGCCCACGCCGGCCGAGGCGGTCCGCGACTCGTTGACGCCGTGGCCGTGCTGCCGCTCGTCGTCCGCGCCGTGCCGCTCCTGGCCGATGTTGCCCAGGCCGCCGCCGCCCGCCGCCACCACCAGCGGCTGCGGGGCCCGGCCCGCGCTCTTGACTCGCTGCGAGGACAACAAGGGCAAGGCGGTCTTGGTTTTGTTGTTGCTGTCCGGAGGCGGCGAAACTGGCACCGCTGGGATACCTACCCTGAACACGAAGGAGGCGCCGCCGCCGCCGCCGCCGCCCGTCGTGTTGTCCACGCCGTACATGAGCTGCTTGCGCACGTCGCGCGGGTCGGACGGCGCGTTGAAGAAGCTGCGGCACTCTCCGTTCGAGTCGTCGCCCTGCGGAGAGACCGAGGTTATCTCTGTTCCACCCTCGGAATGCCGCGGCAGGTTTAATTAGGACAGGCAGGCTATTGCAGTACCTTGCGACAGGTGCTGGTGCCCTCCTGCCCCACCAGGATGTAGAGCACGTCGCCGCTGTTGAGGTCCAGGACGATGCGCGACTCGGCCGCCAGGCTCCAGCCCTGGCCCTCGGAGCCGCTGCCGCCGCTGGCGCCGCGAGCAATAATCCTGCCACACGTTTCCACGTTCTCGCTTCAGCATCAACAACAACAACAACAAAGGCAGACACTTTGGAATGTACATAGATCCCGCCGCTACGCAATAGAAGGAGGGCCGGCTGGCCCGCGAGAAGAATGGCAAAGGGGGAGGGGGTTGCCGGGGGTCAGTGGCGTAGGAAGGGGTTGCCTGTCGGCCTGTCAGGATTCTGCCCCCTCCATCCGGTGCACCGGCGGACTGGCGCTATGGAAGCAGGCGAGAGGGCCGACTGCCCCGACACTGCTAGCACTGCTACGCCGCTGTGCCGGGATGCCGGGGGTCGTCGACTGAGGACCTCTCTTCCTCGCCCCGCCGCCTCTGCCGCCTCTCCTCTCGCCTTGCCGGCGTCCGCCTACACACTGTCGGCGCGCGGACGGCGGGGCGGGGAGGGGAGGGCCGGCCAGGGGTAGTTGGGGGCTGTCGAGGCTGTGGGCTCCTGTTAGGGTTCGGCAGGACCCGGGCTGCGCCTGCCAGCGTCTGCCTGGCTGTTGCTCCGACTAGGTAAACGCCCGCTGTGGCCCGTGGGCCGCGGACGCGTCTTCGTTCGCCACCTTTGAGGCCACCCCCCTTTCTCCTACACTCGCTGGCGGCTGTTTTCTTTCCATTAGCATGCCGCAGGTGAGATTTCCCCCTCTTTCCGAAGGCAATAAATCACGATGTTGGAAAAACAGTCGGGTTTTTCTCTTTTCCCGCGCCGCCGTGCCGCGACTCGCCATTTCCCTCTCCCCGCTCCGCTTTTTGTTTTCTCTCTTCTTTCCCGCCTCTCCGCCGCCACACAGTGGGCTAGAAGGCCTGCGGAGTGGGTCAAAATCCCGGACGCGTTTTGAGCTCCAGAGTCGCTAAACGGGACTCGGACGGAACGTGTGACCCCACCAATGGATTGCTCTCCGAACGCGGAGTCCATTGGTGGGGTCACACGTTCGGTTCGAGTCCTGTTTAGCGACTCTGGAGCTCAAAACGCGTCAGAGACTGGATACTCACGTGTACACCTCCGTCTCCGGCACGACCCAGCGCTGCACGCCAGCGTACGGCGCCTCGGACAAGACGGTCACGTTGGTGGCGGTGCCGTTGTAGGCGGCGGCACACTGCGCCTGCGTGGGGCCCGCCATGCCTTTGGCGCCGCACGTGGAGAACACGTACACTGCGAACGGAATCAGAGACAGGGAGGGGAATTAAAGGGGCACCCGCTCGGACGCACAGTGGGCCACAAGACTGGTGTAGGTGGACAAAATTAGAAACGGGTTTTGAGCTCCAGAGTCGCTAAATGGGACTCGAACCGAACCTGTGACCTCACCAATGGATTGCTCTCCGAACAAGGAATCCATTGGTGGGGTCGCAGGTTCTGTTCGAGTCATGTTTAGCGACTCGGGAGCTTAAAACGCGTCTAGAGTTTTGGCCGCCTCCACCGGTCTTCTAGCAAATCCACTGTTAGACGTTACGTCAGCGCCACCGCTCCACGATGCTTACTCGTCTTGTTGATGAAGTCGCGATGCATGTCCGGTTCAACGGGCTCTGAAAAACAGAAAAGCCAAATTGCGTAAAAATAAAACGGCCAACAAACAGCCGAAAAAAAAAGGAAACCTCAAGGGTTTTGCTCGGGCGGGGCCTTTGACGATTCTGGTCGCAATCACTTTCCGCAAAGGCGCCACCACGCCACCGTAAACGAAGTACGCGCAATCAGCCGACTTAATGAGGGCACCGAAATTAGCCTCTCTGGGGCGCCACGCGCCTCGCCGCCACCGTGGTGCTGCTCGCCGTGCTGCTCGCCGTGCTGCAGACTGAGAGTCGTCTTCGTCGCTCTGTCTCTCTCGCACTCATGGGCGTTCTGTACACGTGCGAGAGAGAGAGAGAGAGAGCGACGAAAACGACCCTCGGAATCAGTTTACTGGCAGTGGCGGGCCTGGATGGCATTAGACGCCGCGCTGCAGACGCCCCTCGGAGTGCCCCCCTTCCCCCTCCAAAGCCGGGAGAACGGATTCATTTGCAGAGCTGCGATTAGCCTCCCCCCTCCCCACCCCTCCTGGACGGGAGGCGGGCCGCTTACCTGGGGGCTCCGGTTTGTCGTAGTCATAGTCGCCGACTTCCTCCGGCGGCAGCCCTGCACAAATTGCACAAATTAGCACGCATGAATGGGAGTCGCTCTGTCTCTCTCGCACCCCCACGGGACGCCCCGTAAGAGGGAGAGAGAGAGAAAGGGCTCTACTCACTCTTGCCGAAGCACTCGGGGCTGAGCGTGATGTCGTCCACGGCCATGTCCGCGGCGCGCATGCCCCTGCGCGCCTCCAGGTGGATCTGGTACCTGCGGCACGACAAGGACAAGGGGCGAGCTAGGAACCAAAGAACGCGAGACCACCAGAAAGAGAGAGTATTTCTCGGACTTGGTGTGCTTACTTGTACTTGAGCGGCGGCAGGGTGATGAGCACCTGCGTCCAGGTGGACTTCTTGTCGCCGTACTTCCAGAACACCTGGTACTGCTTGCGCTTGTTCTTGGGCCAGAACTCGAAGACGCTGACGGCCAGCGAGCCGCCGTGCTGGCCGTACTGGTGGTAGAAGAACCGGAACTGGGGGAGGCAAAGCAAGCAAAGGAAGCCGTCAGGCCGATGGAACATTCAGTGAGAAGCCCTGCAGGCCGGACGGACCCGGACTCGCTCTGTCTCTCTCACACCCCTAGCGGGACGCAACGGGGCGCCCCGTGAGCGCAAGAGAGACAGAGCTGACGCACAGTGGGCCAGAAGACCGGCGGAGGCGGCCAAAACTCTGGACGCGTTTTGAGCTGCAAAGTCGACAAATGGGACTCGAATCGAACGTGTGACCCCATCAATGGAGTGCTCCCCGAACGAGGAATCCATTGGTGGGAGTCACACGTTCGGTTCGAGCCCTGTTTAGCGACTGTGGAGCTCAAAACGCGCCCAGAGTGTACCCCGCCCCCAGCTGACCTCGCAAGACTTGTAGCACTTCTTGGCCGTCTCGTTGCGGTGGCACGGCGGCGGCGGGTTGAACACGGCGCTGTCCAGCAGGGCCTCCTGGCCCAGCTCGCCGTTGGTGGTGTCGACGTAGAGGTACATGCCGGTGTCGTTGCCGTAGGTGTGGTCCTTGGCGCCCTTGTAGCCGGGCGTGGACCCGTTGAGGCGCTTCCACTGCACTGCGCGGTGCGGCGTCGACGCGTTCCAGCCGCACATGCCGTCCTGGAAGTCGCAGCGCGCGCCGCGGGGCACCTTCACTGCAAAGGGGCGCCCAAAATCGGTTTACTCACTCGCACTCCGGACTGGTAAACGAAGTCCCGCTGACCGCCCCACCGCCCACCAGCCCCCGCACAGTGGGCCAGAAGACCGTCGCGGGCGGCCAAAACTCTAGAAGCGTTTTTAGCTCCAGAGTCGCTAAACAGGACTCGAACCGAACGTGTGACCCCACCAATGGATTCCTCGTTCTGAGAACAATCCATTGGTGGGGTCACACGTCCTGTTCGAGTCCCATTCAGCGACTCTGGAACTCAAAACGCGTCTAGAGTTTTGGCCGCCTCCACGGCACCTAGCCGGCCCTAGGGCTGGGCGGAAGAGCGCGTGTCGGTTTGGTTTGAGCGCGCCACCCACGCCGCGGCCGCGACCGCCGCGACCGAGCCTAAACAAGCAACACCTGCCGCGGCGCCAAGCTTTCCCGGGCCGGCCGCGGAGCCGCGGAGCGAGGAATTCAAAGTTTCTCTTTGAAGGCCAGAGTCTTGTCTTCCTCTGCGCGCCAAAAAGCCAAAAACTCGGAACCTAGCGCAACCATCGGCCGGCGCGAGCGAAGTTCAGCGAAGCGATGCCGAAGGGATGGCCGCGGGATAAGGGCGCGAAAATCGAAACTTGAGCCGGCGGGCAGAGATAGTTGGGCGCGAAGTGGGTCTCCGGCAGTCTCCGAGGGGTTGCCCAACCAAGGCCCTACCAACGCCCCCGCAAACCCCACGCGTGCTGCGCTCTGTGCCGTCGGGTTGGGCCAGCTACGGCCTCGGCCTCGGCCAGGAGGGGGGAGTGCTGCACATAGTTAACTTCCTGTCCGATTTTTTCGTCCCGGAGTGGCTGTTGATACGAAGGTCCTGCCGGTGGAGGCGGGCTTGTTATTATCATTGGATTCCTGCCTTGGCCTCTTGGCTTTCGCCGGGCCACCCCCTCCGCCCCCTCCGCCCCCTCCGCCCCCTCCGCCCCCTCCGCCCCTGTTTCCTGAGCACCTCTGGCTGCCTCCAGTCGGCTCGGCTGGGAGCGGGACTGTTATTGTTGACAGGTTAATGGTGATCAGGGACTTTACTTAAGGGACCTATAAAGGCTGTATCAGATTAAGGAGCCGGGCCGCGGGCCGGCCAGGGCCAGGGCCAGGGCCCCATCCCCCACACCGCCAACGGCGCCAACCCACTGGACGATCGACTCTGCGTCGCGCGTCTGTCGTCCACACGTCCTTCATGTGGAGGAGCGCGGAGCGGTGCGGAGCGGCAGACGGCATCCGCGTTTCCGTCGCTCTGTCTCTCTCGCACCCACACGGGCCACCGCGTGAGCGCGAGAGAGGCAGAGCGAGGAAAACGACTCTCGGAATCCGTCTGCCGCGCACAATGGACTTTGCGGCCCGCACGCCTGGCTGCTCCCCGCCGACACTTTCCCTCCGCCGAAACAAATAGCACTTTCAAATTTGGGCGGGAAAAAAGTAACTGTGCGTCCGCCGCGGTGCCCTTGCTAGACCGCGCACCGCAACAAGGACAGCTCTCTTTTTTTTGTATCTCTTTTTTCCTCGCAGCCCTTTTCCCTTTCACCGACGTGTTCGGCCGGATTTATCGTGCCCTTGCCCCGCGAGCCGCGAGGCCCTGGCCGAGGCCCTGCGGAGGGAGTGAGAGGGAGGAGTAGTGATGTCCACCGGGCCGCGATAGCCACCGCGGCAGCCCGCTTACTTCACCAACAAAAAAAGAGAGAGAGCCAAGGCCGTGCAAAAATAAAACTCGATAGAATCGATTCGACAATTAGCGTGTGCTTCTCCTCCTCCTCCATCTTCGTCTGCTCCATGAGGGCGGCCCGTCGGTGCGAGAGAGACAGAGAGACGCAGCATGTAGTTCGGCCTGCTGGAGGGAGACTGGAGGGCGGAATGGAACACACGACTGTCCAGCTGTCCCGGCGGGGCGCTCCCTAGTTGGGGCGGCGGACGCACGGACGGACGGCAGACAGACAACAGACGCACACAGAGGCAGACGGACGGACAGACAGAGCCGCTCGTCATAGAGTTCCATTTCCGGCGTACGTATTTGAAAAGGACAAACAGAAACTACTAACCGGCGCAGGAGAGCGTGCGGCGTGGCGATACAGAGGCCCGAGTGGAGAATGGCGTGCCACTACACTGTTAGAACTACTCAGGGGTTGATTCTACTCACGGCAGTCCTGTTCGTCGTCCTCGTCCTCGCCGTTGGGGCAGTCCTTGACGAGGTCACACACGTGGGAGTGGGCCAGGCACTGGTCCGTCTCCCCGGACCCGGTGGGGCAGTGGAAGTTGGAGGGCGTGCTGCACTGCTCGCCCGTCTTCAGCCGGTTCCCTGCGAACAAGAAGAAAGGCAACTCACTGATTGGGCGGCCCGTTCGGCCCGCTGGCCCGTTGTTTGTTGTTGTTGTTGTTGTTGTTGTTGTTATTGTTGTTGTTGTTGTTGTTGTCGTTGTCCGTTCCGGACGCGGAAAGCCAGTGGAAGCGCAAAGCGCCTGCAGACTGACTCCGAGAGTCGTTTTTCGTCGCTCTGTCTCTCTCGCAACTCATGGGGCGTTCCGTTGGGGCGCGAGACGAGAGAGACAGAGCGACGAGGCACAGCTCAGCATCCGCGTGCAGCCACGCGGAGCGAGAGCCTCGTGGTGCCGCGGGGTTGGGGGCGGACAGCGACAACGACAACCCCGCCCGCCCCGCCCCGCCCCGCCCCCCGCCCCGCCCCGCCCCGCCCCGCCCCGGCGAACGTGGAGAGCGTCTCCTTGAACCCCTTTTGCGGACACAGCCCTGGGCGCAGCGCCCAGCCCAAGTTGCGTAGTACACGCGGCGTTGGGTGGCTTGTTGCCTGGCGTGTTGCGCGGCGTGTTGCCTTGCCAGCCGCGGGGCGGAGTGCGATCGGCCACTTGTTTCCCGGATGTAAACCATCGGCCGATAATTGGTATCCCGGATAATAAGGGCTGAGCCGCCAGCAGCCCCCCCCCCTCCCCCCCCCAAGCCGATGCTTCGCCCATGCCAGTCGGCTTATTAGCGCGCAATTTGTAATTCGAGCGAGAGACGGCGAGCCAGGCGAGCCCAGCCCAGGCCACAGTCGATGAATCCCGCAAGCTAATTGGGCCGATTCCTTTTTGTTTTCCGTTTTTGCGTGTAGAGGAACCCAGTGCACAGTGGGCCAGAAGATCGGCGGAGGCGGCCAAAATCCCGGACGCCTTTTGAGCTCCAGAATCGCTAAATGGGGATCGAACCGAACGCGTGACCCCACCAATGGATTGCTCTCCGAACGAGGAATCCATTGGTGGGGTCACACGCTCGCTTCGAGTCCTGTTTAGCGACTCGGGAGCTCAAAACGCGTCTCGAATTTTGTGCAGTGGGCCCTCTCGAAGCAGCCCCAGCTCCAGGGAGCTCCAGGAAGCTCCAGGGATGCCTCGCCGTCTCCGCTACACTGGCTACGCCATGGCTACACCTGTTCGCCTTCCTAGTCCGGCGCGCGGAATGCCATGCTGGATAAGGGCGCTCCAGCAGGCTGCCATCCCTCTCTCTCTCTCTCTCTCTCTCTCTCTCTCTCTCTCTCTCTCTCTCTCTCTCTCTCTCTCTCTCTCTCCCCCCCCTGCCGCCCACGCACACCTTGGTAGTTACTTCCCCGCGGACAAATCCCATTTCCAACAGCATTGTCCGCCCAAAGTGGCCCGTGTTTCGGCCTTCGTCCCGGACAGCGCCTCGTCGCGCTGTCTCTCTCGGTGCGGTCACAGTGTGAGAGTGACGGAGACGAGCGCAGGAGGGCAGTTCGTCCTAACGTCCGGCGTCCACGCTCGTGGACGAAAGCAGTGCCTGAAATCGGCCCGCCCCCGCTGGGCCTGTCCCTTCCCTGCATTAGCCAAGCCAACCATTACTTGGCCTCGGAGGACCTTTTTGCGAGTCCGGCTGGAGGGCGGGCTGCAGACTGAGAGTCGTTTTCGTCGCTCTGTCTCTCTCGCACCTATAGGGGACGCCCCATGAGTGCGAGAGAGACAGAGCGACGAAAACGACTCTCGGAATGAGTCTGCTGGGCTCGAGGCACCGTCCCTCATGGTGATCCCGCCCCTGGCTAGGGTTGCCCGCCACGCCCGGCCACGCCGCCGTGCGACGCCATGCCCCCTCCCCCCTCTCCTCCCCGGCCCGGCCCGGCCGTCCCCGGCGCGGCAGTTTCACTGAAATTATGCCCGCGAAGGCTGCCTGCTCTGCTGGCTGATTCCGAACTGTGCTTTCCTCGCTCTGTCTCTCTCGCACCCTTGCGGGTCGCCGCACGAGTGCGAGAGAGACAGAGCGACGAAACGACTGTTTGGAATGAGCCTGCTGCCTGGCTGGCCTGGGCGCGCGCCTGCCCCACTGTTACCTCGCAGCCTCCTCGCGGCGTCGCGGCTCGGGGGGCGGGCCTGGCGGGGGCGGCGGGGGTGGCGGGCCGCCGGCTGGGGGTGGAGGACGCTGCGGGGGTGGACGCGCGGGCCGTGGGCGTCGGAGAGGGGGGGGGGGAGGACACTACGGTCGCCTTGGCCTGCCTCTGCCTCGGCCTGACTGGGCCTGCCTTGCCGATCCTCCCACGCTATTAGAAGTACACTAGGCGGTCAGCCCGGACCGGCGGGGTGGGGCGGGGCGGGGCGGGGCGGGGCGGGGCGGGGCGGGGTGCCGCACTGCCGCCCCCGCCCGCCCCCAGCTTGAGACGCACCCGACCCCGATCCCTTGCGGTCTCCGTTGCCTCTTCCCACCCCGTTGACCCTCAAATCGAGCTCCCCCTTCCAGTGCCTGATGTGCTCGAGCAACAGTGAAAGTGACTGGGTCGGGCCGCGCGCAGGGCCGCGGCGTGCCGGCGTGGCCCCGTGCTGTCGGCGTGCCCCCCCCCCCCCCCCCCCCGAGTGCGAGAGAGACAGAGCGACGAAAACGACTCTGAATCAGTCTACTGTGGCATACGGCGCGCGCGACGCGGTTCGAGGCTCGTGGCCTACAGTGTGCCCTCGCTCGCGCGACCGGAGTGCCGACAAATGAAAATAATTAATCACCCGGCCGCTTTTAGCTGGGGCTCCCGATCTCGCCCCAGTGCCGCCAGCCCCGCTCCGCCGCGTCGCCATGCAGACTGATTCCGAGAGTCGTTTTCATCGCTGTCTCTCTCGCACCGGGACAGCCCGTGAGTGCGAGAGAGACAGCGATGGAATCAGCCTGCTGGGAGTGATACAGTGTAATGAACGAAAGGCAACACAATGCCCCGCTTCGCCTGCTTCCCGTTGTTCGTTCCGGCGCGACACTCAAATGGACAGCGTGATGGTTCCATGCAGGCTCTCTCCTTTTTTCTCTCTCGCACTCGTGGGGCGTGCCGTGGAGGTGCGAGAGAGACAGAGCGCTGTTCAGCAGCAGCCCATTCCCATTCACGGGCCAAAGCGCCGGACGGCCCGGACAAAGAGACAGCCGTGTGGTAAGTGTCGGCTGGTCCAGTGGAGCCATGGCGCACAGTGGGCCAGAGGACCGGTGGCGGCGGACAAAACTGTAGACGCGTTTTGAGCTCCAGAGTCGCTGAATGAGACTCGAATTGACCGTGTGACCCCACCAATGGGTTCCTCGTTCGGAGAGCAATCCATTGGTGGGGTCACACGTTCGGTTCGAGACCTGTTTAGCGACTCTGGAGCTCAAAACGCGTCCAGAGTTTTGGCCGCCTCCACCGGTCTTCTGGCCCACTGTGCCGCGCCTGCCGCTCAATGCGGTTCATCTCGATCCTCTTTTCGATACGCTGCCACGCCACTGTGAGTCAAGTCCCTGTCCACTCGCTGCCTCGAGGACGCAGAGCAGCGCACGCTTAAAACCTTACGAAAGTATTTTGAGCATAGTAAACCAATTTACTTTGTCACACGAAGAAATAGTTTGTAAATTACGAAATATTTTCTTTGTAAGCTTATGTATACAAGCTGCTTTTCTCTGTAAGGCTTGGAATAGTTTGTCATGTTTTCTCAGGGAACGCAACGTACCGTGGAAGCACTTGACGAGCTGCAGGTTGTCGATGGCCACGTGGCCGGAGCGCTGGCTGTTGTTGGCGATCTCGATGACGATGCGGATGGTCTGCAGCACGCGCCCGATGAAGATGGTGTGCTGCTGCCACCTGCAAGACGAGAAGCAAGCCTCGTGACGGATCCATTCCGGCGCAGTGGGCCAGAAGACCGGTGGAGGCGGCCGAAACTCCAGACGCGTCTTGAGCTCCAGAGTCGCTAAACAGGACTCGGACCGAACGTGTGACCGGCAATGGATTCCTCGTTCGGAGAGCAATCCATTGGTGGGGTCACACGTTCGGTCCGAGTCCCGTTTAGCGACTCTGGAGCTCAAATCGCGTCTGGAGTTTCGGCCGCCTCCACCGGTCTTCTGGCAAATCCACTGTGCAAGCGACTCATTGCCGAATCGCGCAGTCAGAGAATCAAGTAGTGGTGTACTGACGCGTTCTCCGTGTTGGCGACGTTCTGCTTGAACACCCAGCGGACGTAGGACCCGTTGCCTTGCGGACTCTCCGCGAAGACCGCGATGGTGCCGTTGGCCGAGTGGCCGGCCTGGCCCGCCAGACCGGCGGGGTCGCTCGCGTTGCTGGACACGTTGGCAGTGTGCAGGGACAGCTGCAGCTTGCACACGCCGTTGGAGAAGGTGTACAGTGGGCTGGTCAGGTGCAGCGGCTCCGACGAGTTGGGCTGCACGTTCAGGAACAGGAAGTGGCCTGCCGAGCACAGAGACAGTGGGAGTTAGTTGGGGACGCGTCGCAAAGTTTGGACCGCACTTTTGTCTCCGTTTTGGACCTTTGCAGCGAGGCTGCTTCCAAACTGAGGTGGGTCATCATCTCGGGGCGGAAGCGCCACTAGGAAGGGGCGGCGCTGACTCCACACCTCGGGGACCTCCTGGAGGCCCTGGAGGCCCTGGAGGCCCTGGAGGCCCTGGAGCTCCTGGCGAGAAAGCAGGCCGGCGCGGCACGCAATGAGGTTCGAAGCAGGAAGGGCAGGAGGGGGGGGGGAGAGAAACGTCCAATCAGTGGAACTCGTGGAGCAGCAGCAACAAACGTACACACTGTCACGGTTCGATTCGCTTCACGCTTCTTCAAATAAAACTCTTTTACGAAAAGTAAGTCTGGACGCAATGGAACGGATGTTTGCGAACAGGTGCTCACGGCAGAGGCCCGCCTAATTCCTCCCAATTTTCCTATACAGCCCTTTTTGAAGCGGTGGGGAAATGGTTTTTCCTCGCCCCGCCGAGCCCAGAGCTCCGAGCCCGGAGCCCCAGGCGGCCCCGGCGCGGCGCGGCCCCGCGCCCACGCTCCGCCGATGTCACGCCTCTGTATATATTACACGGGATCACGCTGAGGGCTGCTTGCTGCTGGGGCCGTGGTGCTGCTCTTGGAGTAGCTCGTGTAGCGGGGAGGGCGCCACGCCGCCGCCCTGCACCGAGGCTCAGGTGGCCGACGAGGGGAAAGGGGGGGGGAAAGGTTGCAGCTGGGGCAGAGGGGCTCCGAAGGGAAGCGGAGGGAGGCGACCCAAGAAGTAGGTAGCGACAACCCGACTAAGTGACGGGGACGGCGCCGGCGGGCAGAAGCGGTGTTTTATTTCACCGCCTCTGTCTCTCTCGCACTCGTGGGACTCGCGGGGCGTCTCTGTTCCGTCTCGGTCCCGTCGGCCCACTGTGCGAGCTGCAGCTCGTCTGATGAGGCGGGGTGGACGCGGGGCAGCGGAGCGCGAAAGGAGGGGGGGGGGAGAGCGCCACTGAGAGCGCTCCGGGAACGCGAAAGGCCAAAGGTCCCACCCCGCCCCACCCCGCCCCACCCCGCCCCGCCCCGCCCCGCCCCGCCCCGCCCCGCCCTGCCCCGCCCCGCCCCCCCGCCCCGCCCCGCCCCCCCGCCCCGCTGCGGCGGCACGTGGAGGGGGTCGCGGCCGCGGCGGTGCGGCGGCAAACGGCAAAGGTGGGGCATCAAAAACCAGAAAAAAAGGGAAACTTTTTGAAGTGGATTGATTGCCTCTGCAGGGACGTACCCAACCCCCCGTCCCGCGGTCCGTCCGGTCGGATCGTGACGCAAGGGGCCGCGCCAGGCCGCGCGATGCCATGCCATCCGCGCCGTGCCGCCGCCACGGTCACACTCCGGTTATGCGCGCAGAAGTGACCTTCATTTGAAATTCAATACTCTGATGTTGGTACCCGGCTCGGCCCGGCTCGGCCCGGCTCGGCAATGGCGCCGCTTGTAACTCTCGTTTATGAGATGGCGCACCATTAAATCGGAAGCTCCACTGATATACAGCGCCCCCCTCCCGCGCCCCGCCCCCTCGCTTTTTCTGGCTTGCGCTTACTGTGCTGCGGGGCTGTGGGGTGCGAGGCGGGCGCCATTTGCAACAGGCTGCAACGACTTGACGCGGGCCGCGTCGACCACAACGACCACACCTGCAGGCATGCCGAGGAGAGGCGGAAAGAGCACTTTTAAATCACGGCCCCAACAGCCGTGCGGCCCCGCAGCCCCGGCCTTTCGGAACACGAGGCCGTTAAAACGCGAAACGCACGCACCGCACGGCTGCATGGCGACCGCGAGGCACTCCCCGTGAGTGCGAGAGAGACGGAGGGAGGGCAGCGAAATCGCTTGACTGCAGCAACGCGAAGCAACGCAAAGCAGCCATAACCTACCGCACTGCCCCTCCACCCACGCCCCCTGGAGGCTGCCCTACTTGAACCTCCCCTAAGAGCGGCGCGTGGGACAACCGGGACAACCCCCAAGGTGTGGCCCGGCGTGGCGCAGTGTTTCTAACGAGGTTTGCTCCCGCAGCCCTCGGAGGCCGTGCCGCGCCGCGCCGTGCCGAGCCGCGCCCTGCCACATGGAACCCGTTAGACGTAATTGCTTTTACCGCGCTAACTCGATTCCCTTTCTCCTGAATTACTGGCGCCACGCCACTGTGATGCGCTGCAACGCCACCCGCACGCCACGCCACGGCTCAGTGGAAAGACGAGGCCGCCGCCGCGGAGCCCCAATGTGCACCTACACTGCCATCGCATAACTTTACCAGGATCGACCGCAAAGTCTCGACTTTGTTGCGTCACCGTAAAATCCGCGAGCCGCCGTGCCGGCGTTCGCTTGACACGCGGAGTGACTTGTAGAGCGCGCACCTGTGTGGGCGTGGGCACTGTGAGTCGCTCTGTCTCTCTCGCACTATGGCGCGTGCCCTATCGGCGCGAGAGAGACAGAGCGACGAAAACGGCCCCCGGAATCAGTCCACTGGCGTGGAGGGTGACTTGCTTGGCGGAGGCGGGGCCCGGAGCGGGGCGGACGGACGGACAAGCAGCGGGGTTAATGACAAGACTCGCTCCGCCTCGGCTGCCAACACTGACTCACTGACTCAGCGCGATTCAAGCAAATCGTTTCTCTCGGCCCTGGTTTGCGGAGCGGCGAGAGAGAGAACAAAAACATTTCTCTGTTCTCTGCCTCGCCGGCGTGCATATTCATCCACGGCCGTTGGCCGGGTTGCCTATCCTCTGGTCCGCGGGCGCTCCCTGCGCTCACAGTGCCCTGGAGCGGCAAACGGAGTGGCCGACTCCGGGGCACTGCACTGTGTGAGGCTGCAGGCACGCGCACAGTCCGCACCCCTCCTCTCCGTGCCAGTGTGTCCGGCCAGCCCTGCCCTGCGCTCCGCGCTCACGTGGTT